CCAAGAGCCATTATTTGCTGACTTATCGGACAAGACATTGAAATTATTACAACCTTCAAGACAACATAGTAGGGATGAAGACCTTCAAGAACAACATGTTTTTCCTTGAATAGATAGTGAGATACAATGTACATTTGGTATCATGACATAGAAAAAGACTTTCAATGTTTGGTGATTTTATTGAAGGTAGGCATGACTCCTAATAGTATTGAAAATATTTTATTTGAAGGAAGTTATGAAGGTTTTAACAATGATCAATTACATGGTGGTCTTCCCACCTTGAAATGGGACATTATTGATGGCCAAAAGGACCTATCAACTACCATTGAAATCAATAAAGATCAAAGTACGTAACAAATATAATTCGTCACATCTTAGACTTCCTCAACATATGTTCATTGCTCCTTGTAGAACTCTTTTCTAAAAAAGGGGAGAATGTCACAGATATATACCTATTATAATCATTACCTGGGTAGGTAGAATTAAATAAAAGTATATTAATTTCATAAAATCCTTCTAAAAAAGCTTCCTAAAAGCTTCCTAAACACTATTTTGACTTTATTTATGTTTGTAGTTGATTGGTAGGTTATAAACTTGCTCAACAAGCCACTTATATACCGCATGTGTTGATAGCTTGTAGAACAAGCTAACTATATGGTAGCAATATAGAAAACTTGCTTTGCAAGTCAAGATACATGTCATGCAAAGTCAACACGTTTTTAGAGGTCTTATAGAATGTCGCCATATAGATCTTAAATAGATAGTATATATAGAGGCAAGAGTGAAGCCTTCTTCACTCTTATCAATTCCTTTCTTGCTTTTACTCTAGATTCAAGAGTCTCTAGTTTTCTTGTCTTTTGGCAATAGTCATTCTAGTTTCTTTTTAATATACATACTACTTTATTTCTATTTTGTCACTTTTCTTTTGACACAAGTTTTCCAAGTTTATGCATCTTTTCTAGTTCATGTCCTTGACAACAAATCATTCAAATAGATATGTTAAGATGAATAGATTTTATTTTTCTATTATTGTTTTTTTTTTGTAAGAAATAGTTAAATAAAAAAATTATAGCTTTAATGCATGAAATATGCAAAAATAAATATATTCATTTTAAAAATTATACCAAGTTTAAGATATTTCAATAGTATAGATTTGAAGTAAGACAATGTCAAATTGAATTACTACAAATTATGGTTTTTACTACATACATAAAAAAAAATCTAAAGAGCTTATTTAAGGTTACATATGTAGATGATAATTTTATATATATATATATATATATATATATCATTATGATGTTTTATTTTTATTAATTTATTTATTAAAAATATATAATTTTATTGACTTACATAATATGCTTCTTTTCAATTTGATTAAATTAATTAAAATCATTTTGCAATACTTTTCTATTGGTGTTGTTAATACATTTGCTAAAACATTAACACAATGGTCTATAAGATCAACTTTTAATATTACCCATAATATATCAACACGGTTTAAGTTCATATATATATATATATATATATATATGAGCATATACAGATAACAGAAAAAAAATCCAAAATTATCTCTCTCTCTCTCTCTCTATATATATATATATATATATAATATTGAAGATTATAATAAATCAGAATATATTGAATATTTTAAATTATGGATGACAATCAAGTTGTAAATTTGAGTCTGCTTTTTCTTTCAAACATATCTGCAATTGAGTACACAAAGGTCATTACAAGTTTCTAAGAGATACATGACCAAAGTTTCATTCTTCAAATAAATAAATAAATAAACAAACAAACAGGTATATTCACCATCAAACAATATGAAGGAGTATTCACAGTTTTCATCACAGCAACCTTTGAGGTTTTTGCAACAATTACTAATATAATATACATTATATTCACATTAGTACTTTTTAAATTGTTTATAGTTTTATAAGATAAAACTAATAATTAACCCAACAAAAAAATTAGCCAAAAACTAAATTATTCTCAACCTTCTTGATGCTGTCTTTAATCTGTGGTATCTGTCATACACCATGAATTCCTAGCATGCCATATACACACATTATATGTATATATTTTTATATATTTTGAGCCCAATAATATTTTAGATTTACTCCATGAGAATTGTTGATTGCTCTCTCAATGTCAAGATATTTTAATTATCAATATAACAAATTTAAAAAAGCTTTGAAACATGCCAAAGATGCTAGCTGGAAGGTTAATGACTCAAAACCTTTATAAATTTTTAATGCCTTTCACATGTTTTTCAAAAAACGGTTGAAGGAAGCAATAAAAATTATATCAAATTGGAATTTATTTGGTCTATTTTTGAGTGACATAAAATTTTAATCTATAGTTGTATTTTATCAAATAATGCCAACTATATGCTTATTTATTCTGTGCTATGATGAAAACTCAATACTTTTATAACAATTATGCTTTCTTATTCTTATTCTTTTATTTGGTATAAGAAGTGAGATTTATGTGTTTTTTCTATTATAACTAATACATTTTAATTAGTTGAAACTAAGTGACATTGATTTGGAGTACTTTATTTTTGTATTAGTGTGAAGTTAATGTATGAGAAGAATGACACCAATTGAATTGCAATATACCAAATTCTCTTAGATGAGATGTAAAAATTAATAAAGTCTTATTATATTATCAAATCTTCATTTATATCAAAATATTAGATATTAAAACTCCAAAGAAATGGTATGAAATTTTTCTCATGATGTATAATGATGTACATCAATTGAATCTACAATGCAACATTAGTAACTTCTGTATTTTTGATCATTACAATAAATTTTAATTGTATTTAAAATGAGAAATATATAGGTTTGCTTAAAATATATATATATATATATATATACATAAAAATGTCATAAACAAATAAAGAAGGCATAAAGTATGTGCATGTCCATGTAAATATGTACATGACACAATTAGTTGTTCATATAAAAATGTAAGAGTATTAATTAAATAACATAATATTATGAAAATTATTTCAAAAATATAACATCATGTACATATAGCCTACAGGGCATTTGCAAACAGGTCACGAACTTTAAAAAGCTAATAACAAATATCAACAGGACAAAACCTAAAAAATTGAGTAATACACTGATATAAACTAGCACAAATCTGGTATGCTATAAAACTCACAATATTAGCATGTAATATAACATAACATAAAATTATGTATATATGTTTCTACGGAGGTAATTTTTGCACTGCCTTTTAAAAATATATAGTAAACAGAAATTATTTATATTCCTATAACTTAGATTTGGAAAAATTTTAAAGTTTTTAAAAGTTTTGTAAGCATTATATTTTAGAATTCATTTTTTTGTTTATCATCACATCAAATTATTACTAAAACTATTTTTGCTCAAATTATACAATTTGAGCTTGAAATGGGTTACAGCAATTATAGACGATGTCATGAAAGAAAAGAAAAAATGAAAGTTTTTTTTTCAACACAGATTATCTACATATGATTTATTTTCTCCCCCAAATTGCATATGATTTATTGAAAAAACTGTGTTGAAAAAATAAATCATATGTAGTACTAAAACACATATAAAAACAAACACATCCATTTAAAATAAAGTATTATATGTCTGTATGTACGAGTGTATCAGTTGAAATACTACTAAAAGCTTTTGGTTGATGTCAAAAGATGATAAACTCAATTAGAAGCATTTGCTGTGAACAACAGTCTCTTGTTCAAAATTTTGTCCACTTTCCAAATCATTCGTTGAAGTTTGAATCCTTTTTGTGTACTTTAAACTTTTTGCATTAAAATTCTATGACAAAGGATGTTGATTTTATTATTTTTTATAGTATTTTCGTGTATCGGATTGCTAATTATTTTTATCGGTGAATGGTGGGTCCAACTATACTATTACAAGCACAAAAGTATCTAAATTATAATTTCAATGCAGAATATATATATATATATATATATATATATATTCACAAAGGAGAAAAGGAGAAGAAGAAGAAAACATTTCTCTTTACGCATTGTTCTTAGTTCAAGCACTCTTGTGTGAGCAAAGGAATAAAAAGTAAAAGGAAACAAATGCCCAAGTGGAGTTTTAGGTTTTAAACTTCTATCCCCTAAAAACTAACTACACTCAAATTTCAACTATAGTACCTACTCTCATAGAATTCTTTCCAAAACGGACGTTGATAAATAAAAAGAAAAAAAAGAAAAAGAAAAAGAAAAACACACATACACACGTGAATACACAAACCCTAAAAATAAGAGGAAAAAAATTCGTGGTCGAAATAGGACCGTTACAATTTATTTCTAAAATAAAACATAAAGAAACTCAATCCCTTCACACTCCTACCAAAACGTAAAAGCAGAAAAACTAAGTAGAACTTTAAAGAAGGAACAGTTTTTTCCTCCTTTAAAAAGCAACGGTCCTGACGTAAAATGACGGGTGGGACCCCCCGCGCAGATGCTATTCCCGTGAACGTGACACTTCCATTAGCAAATGGAAAATGGATGAATACGCTGATGAACGTTTGGACGAATGTTGGGATTAAAAGAAACGGCAGAATAAAGAGATCGCTGTGTTGGGGGGGGGGGGGGGGAGATCCTTGGGAATGGATGCAAGGGGGGGGGGGGCAATAATTGTGCGTCATTGGTGCTGATGATCGGCGACGGAATCTCCGGCTGACGCCATCGTCGCCGTCTTCGTCATCGTCTTCGTCACCGCCTTCAGATTCGTCGTAGACTGGTGGGTCTTCGTCGTGGGTTTCGTCGTTCTCCGTCGGCGGAGTCGTGCATCCTCGCGGCACCTCCTCCACCACCATCTCGTGCTCCTACCAGGACAGATCTCGATGCGCGCTGCTACGAATTTTCGTATGTTTGAATGCTCCAGTGTCGGCTTGAATCCTCTGCTCCACCCAAGCTCTCCGACGTCGCCCTTCCATCTCCGGGAACTAGCGCCTGGTATGCCACCAGCTGGTCGCATTCGTCTCTCTGATCTAGTGCTCATGGTGACCCTTTGCATGAGTTTCCGGGACTTGGGCTAGATTGCCAGGATTTTACTTGCCGGCAGACGCGTAGAACTGTGTCGGGGATCGTGTTGATGAACTTGTGTCTGTTGGTGGTTCATATGAGCGTCATTTGTTGGTGTTGAATTAGTGTGGAACGCTAGAACGGCTGGTTGCGAGAGCGGTTGGGGTGCTAAAAGTCAGGTGTTGTGAGGACGAGTTTTGTTTTGTTTTCTCTGGTTTCTTCGCCGTGATCTAGCGTTTTCGTGGTCTTGATTTTTAATTTTAATTTTTTTTACTTTGATGTTTTGGTTGGTGTTAGTCACTTGAGCATCTAGTCTTCGTGTTGTAGCTTGCAGATCTCAGCGCTATTCAGCTTCTCCCTTCGCAACATGAATCTTGTGTGTTAGTCTTCGTGTCTTTGTCCGTGTCTGTACGATCTTACATGTGTCTAGCGTCTTTAGCCTTTTGGCTTGTCTGTAACTTCGACAGTTGCAATGACAATTGTGGTTTTGGAGACTAATTGGAAGCTACGGATGTGCTAGGTCTGGAGCCCTCGATCCATGACAAAACCAAGTTTCTTCTACCGACAAGAACACTGGTTCGTCTCTGTGGAATTGACGTGACGATTGGGCATCTTCATCTACGTGTAGGCAGACTCACCAGAGGTCTGAGGGGCGAGCCAGTGGACTATCTCCGCAGATCGGACTACTCAGCTGTTTTGTTCAGTGATGGATAAAGCTCCCGGTACTGAGCCCTCCGCAAAGTCTACTCGAGATGATGTCCCGCTTCGGGGTAACAAAGAGGAAGTTAGGATTCGTGTCCACGACCATGACGAGCACACGTTTGAGCCATCGCCTCCGGTGCCCCAGAAGCCCCAGCCATTCAACCCCAAGAAGCACCGATACTTCCCCATTGCGGTCCCAGTGATAATGATAGGGAATATCGTCGTCTTCATCATGATGATGTACTACAACAATTGCCCCGACCACATTCAACCCGGAAGGAAATGTGTCGGTGCGTGGATGAAGCCCATGTCGTTTCAACCTTGGGACGAGAATCCCATGCTTGGACCTCGAGCAGCTGCGATTTTGAAGTGGGGCGGACTGCTAAGCTCCCTCGTGACTGATAAAGGCCAAGGATGGCGACTTGTTTCCTCCATAGCTCTTAATGGCGGAGTTTTTCAGCTCATCGCGAATCTGACTGCGTTGCTCGGGGTGGGACTTCGTATTGAGACCTATTTCTGGTTCACTAGAGTTGCAATCATTTACGCCACTTCTGGTTTCGGAGGCAATGTGCTCTCCACCCTCTTCATTCAAGATCAAGTATTCGTCTCGGCGTCGGCGGCAGTGATGGGTTTGATAGGAGCGAGCCTGGCCGACGTACTCACGAACTGGGACATGACGGAGTGGAAGCTTCTCAAGTTGACGGACTTATTGCTCTTCTCTCTCATCAGCCTCGGTTTCGGACTGATGCCACAAGTAGACAACTTCGCCAACGCCGGCGGCTTCTTCACAGGGTTTTGTCTGGGCTTTGTCCTTTTGATGCGCCCGCAGAGGGGATTCAAGGACACGCGCCACTTGTCCCAACTGGAAGCCTTCATCGTTAACAGCCAGGACCCTGATCTTCCCCCTGTTAAAATGCACAACAAGAAACAAAGATCGATGCAAATCCTCGCAAGTATCGTAGTCATTGGCTTGCTGGCCGCCGGAACAGTTGTCCTCTTCATCAATATGAAGGTCAACAAAGGTTGCTCCTGGTGCCGTTATGCGGCGTGCGTCCCCGATTTGAAATGGACCTGTCCCGGACCTTACCGAACTGCATAAATCCTGAACTACTGAATCACGACTGTCGCTAGTTGAATGAACTTCTGCCCACTCCCGGAAATCGCTGCCGCTCGTACCCAAGGCGACCTCTTCGAATCCGTTGAAGCTTTGTAACGGTAGGTTAGGGCTAATTTTGGCACTAGTGTTTTGAGCATCTGTTTGCCGGGATCGAAGATAAAGTTGAAAGGCTTTCCCAGCATTCTTTTCGTCGTTCTGGGGGGCGTGGAGACTGATCCGAACACCTGGGCTATGTGTGATGCGCAATCAGATAGATGATATTCACGGTGAATCATAGCGAAAGTTAGTCTGCTCTGAACCCTGGTTTCTTTTCTCAATAAAAAAAAAGAAACCCCAGTAGCAGCGGCGGTATATCCATCAGCAGTGCTTTTTCCCTTCGAAGACTGAAACTCTTTCTGCATACACTCAGTTCTTTTGTGCTTTACAAGCACGCAATTATTATGTTTCTGCTTTAGATCTTCACTGTATTTCAACTGTGTTAACTCGCCAAACACATAATTCATAATATATAAAAATGATTAGCTAAGGTTTCCGTAATCAAACAAGCACCATTTCGAAGGACAAGTGTGAATATAATTGGTGCAAACACTTTCTATGATTAAAATCCTTCCAAATTTGACAGATGAACGTCAAAATTTCCAATTCATCCTTGTATTGATACAACACCATCCGTACCCACATTGTTTACTTTTATCTAACCACAACCTAGTGTCATGGTTCAGGAAGTTTGCTGCAGTCGTTACGACAGACTTTGTAAGCCTGGCGCTCACGGCCAGCCCAAGGTCTCACGATGATCGATATTGGCCACAAAAAACTGTCGGCAACTGCCATCGAGAAGGTTGCATCTGCACATCAATCCATCATTTTGAAGTTTTTGCCTCACAGTTTTCGACAGACCCGATTTACTCAGCGAAGATCTGAGTGGTCTGTTTGAGTTTCCGGGTGAAGTGGAACTATAGCAGTGGCACTCATTCAGGTGGGCCATTGATCAGTTTACTTTTGTGGCATCGACCAATTTGCACAGCTCGACATCGACTATTGCGATTGCTCACCGACGTCATGCTTGTCCTCGTGCGAATCAATACTATTCTATTTAACATCTGCATTATCAAAATATTGCATTGCTTTTTTGTTCCGTTCTTCACATGAATGGAGATGTGTAGAAAGGATGTTGCTTTTTGTCAATTGTCTTCTTACAATAAAAGAATAATTGTTCATTTTGTTCTATTGTAACAAGAGTTTGTTTATATTAATAAGCACCTTATTGTCCAAACTTCTGGAGTCTTACATTCTCTAATTATATCCTCTAAGTTACTAGTGTGAACATGTTAATATACATCATATATATATATATATATATATATATATATTTCTCTATAAGATTTTTTACAATAATGATGAATGTTTAATATTAACTATTGTTGCATCTATCTTGACACTTATAATAATTTTTTTTATTAATATGCAACAATAATAATATTAGTAAATCTTACACATTTTGACGAATTTCACATAACAAAACATTATGTTTTTTTTTTAAATAATTCACTGCATACTGATCATTTGTATGAGACATAAAGGTGGCATGTTTACACACAACCACAATAATGTAATCTATTTAAAAGTTTTCATTAATGTAAATATTGTTTAGCAATCAATATCCAAAATACTTTATTACAAAACAATCATAGTTTGTGTAATAGAACATTAAAATTATTTGTAAAAGAGAGAAATTTTTTTGAGATAATATATAAGTTTTTAGAAAGAAATCATTAAGATAAAATACTTATAATTTTTATTTTATTACGAGGTTTTTTGTGCTTGATGCTAATTTTTGTTCTTAGTGTTAGTACAATTGATGATATTAATTACATGAAAATGTGTAAGTTTTATCAAATCATAAAAAATAGTAATAATATCAACTAAAATATATGTTTGGTACTTCGACATAAATAGAAGTAAATATAATAATAACATTGATTTAAAAATATTTATTACATTATTAATTGTGCTCAAGTAACTTCCACTTTAAATCTATTTAAAAACTAAGATAAAAAGACCTTCACAAAAATGTGACAAGGTAGAAATGATAGTCTAAAAAAAATTGAATGTTGTTGATCATAAAGTAGATATTTAAAGATTCTCTAATTAATTATGCCAAATATATACACATAGTAGAAACAAATTTTATATTCTTAGTCATGTTTTTAATAGAATTATAACTATTTTTATATTTTTAAATAATTTTTTTATATAAAGTAATTTTGAATATTTATTTTTTTTATTTGTCTATTTTTATTTTGAATTTTTATTCAAAATAAGAAAAATAAGTCTAAATAAAATATACTATAGTAGAATGTGTTTGGAAAAAAGTTAATTTTTCTAGGAATCTTCTAAGCTATAGTATTACCACTATTACATTGTCAAATTTTATTTTTTGATGCTCCAAGAAATTTCTCTTTTAGCAAAAAATAAAAAAAACAATACACAAAAGTAAAACATGAATGGTCTTTCTTTCTAATTCTATTTTTTGTAAAATAAATATGAATTATACCTTTATTGCCATTGTCTTATTATTTTATACTATAAAATAAATATAATTTTAAAAATATTATTTTAGATTTCTAAGCAATTGTGCAAGTAGTATTCAATCTAATTCAAGGCATCTAATATCATTGGATATATTTCTAGAAACTACAACAATAATAAACATGAGATACATACATATATGCAAATATATATTTTCTTTTTATTTTTCTTTTTTAAAATTAAAGTTATTAAATTAACTTTCTATATAATTAATTTTTAAGAATCACTTTTTATAATATTTAATATGTTTATTTCCATTTTAGGTTAAATTTTATACAAAAAAAATTATGAAAGTGCTTTAATGGTTAATAATAGAAGTAATTATATTATTCAGATTAAAGATGGTCAATTAATTAGATAGATTTTCATTTTTCTAGTATTATCAAAACAAGAGTCACTATACTTTATTAGATTCAAATATAATCTCACTTTGTCTTTTCTTTTTCCTTCCATGCTCATAACTTAATAAAAATTATTTACATCATAATAAAACACTAAATTAAGAGGATTAAATAACCTTTAGTTGTAGAAGTATGCATTGACATGAATTGCAACAAAAGAAAATATAGACTTGATTAGCAATACACTATATTTTTTGTACACATCATACACAACAATTTGAATTAACTTATATATATATATATATATATATATATATATATATATATAATGTTAAATTTTAACAATATAATTTTTTATTTTATAATATTTATAAAAAATCTAAGATTTTACAATTTAAATTATTTATTTTTTTTGGAAATTATAAATAAATAAAAGATCATTTAATATATATGTTTTTAATTTTTAAAAATATAAAATTATTTAAAATAAAATTTATATACATCTTTTGAAAAAATATTCTAATTATTAAAAAGAGCTTTGAGAGCAATTTAAATATTTTTTTAATTTTTTATCTTCATCTACATAGCTTATACTTGTGCTTATGTTTGTTGAAATTGCAAAAACTATTAGTCTATATCTACATGTGTAAATATAGATAAAATTAGCTCTATGTATGTGTGTATATATATATATATATATACACATACAGAGAGCTAATTTTTTAAAAGAAAAGATGTCACTTAAATGTTTTAAATATTTGGCTCTACAGTAGTACTTAAAATCAAAAACTACATATCATGTATATGATAATTTAGATGACATTTTTGCAAAAGATGTTAACAATAATAATTATAATAATAATGAGTTCAATATCAATAAAATGATATGGTCCTTTATTTTATTTTTCTGAAAACAAAAAAATTAAATATCAAATATTAAAAATTGATATTGCTATGTAGAATTTCACTATTTCCACTCAATATTGTCTTACACTTACCATATTGAAAATATCAATTTTGTAAATGTATTCTATTGATTTTAATTAATCTAATTTTTGCTAAAATAAAAAAATAATGAGAATAACAATAATTACTATGTGTAGAGGCAAATAAAAATAAATTCATAAGCAAAATTTAAAACATATTTTTGAAGAATTAAAATAATATATTAGCTCATTAATTTTTATAAATAATAAAATAAAACTAAAGAAAAATAAAACTAAAATTCTGAATATTTAATATAATATAATTAAAGACAATTAAGATAAAAATCATGTAAGCTAATTTATTTTAAAATCTATGCAGCAAATAATTGATATTGTAGTGTCTTGAGTACATAAAATATTTTGTAGTTACTGATTCTGAAGGTATTTTCATTGAAGCATAATATGGTTTTAAATTAATTCTTTCACTAACTACAATATGTAATTTTTGTTTGCTTACCTACAAAAAAATAAAAAATTGAGCTAAATTAGATCAAAAACTTGAATTTAAAATTATGGTAGATTATGATAAGAACTTCTAAAAAAGTATCAAGAATTTATACCAAATATAAAAATACGATTTTTTTTATCAAACAATAGAAAGAATCTATAAAGGAAATTAAAAGATCCATAAAGAATTCATATATTTGATATATAAGTTTTTTTTTTCTAGTATCTTCAAGTTTAAGGCAAGATGTCAAGAATTGTAAAATAGCTATTCAAAACCACAATAGTAAAAAAAGTGATAAAAGATATATATGCATAAAATAAAGTATTGCTTGTTGTTTATTTTTTGGTTACAAATACTAAATTAATTTCTTAATGGCTAGGTTTCTAAAAATATCTTATTTAGAAAATATTATTTTGATAAAAATATTATATTATTTTGTAATAATTTAATTAATTATTTATGCATTTATTATTATTGTATTAATAAATATATTATTGAATGTTTTTATATTTGTACAATTCATAAAATTAATTATAATATACTTGTTACTTAATGCCATTAAAATTAGATTAAATAAATATATACATAAATTTTTAAAAAATAATATTTTACGCAAATTTATGCTTTAAATTGCTTTTCAATTATTTATTTGATTTTCAATTATTTTAATAGGCTATATTATTTACAAAAAAAAATAAAAAAAACATTTATACTATATAGTTTAACTATATATTATATGCATAATAATGTATACATAAGCATTAACTTCAAGAAATTCAAATAATATTTTAGCTATGACAATGTAAATTTACAATCACCAAAAATATAAACTTGTCATAGTATATGACAAATTGAAAGAACAAAAAATAAAACATACATAGATATATTAAAAATGATTTTTTATATATTTTAGTTTTTTTAGATATTAATACAAATAGCACAAATTATGCTAATAAAATTTGAATGCAATTAAATGTTGTTGAAATATATATATATTTCAAAATCTTACCTCATATAAAAACGACAAAAAACTTTAAAATAAATGAATAATGGGTGTTTATCAAATGTAGTTTTGAAAAAACACACGTCAAAATTATAAAAATCTTGGTCAACAAGCTTCAATACCAACTTTTTTTTTAAAGTTAAAATATATGAATTTCTATTCTTTACGAGTCTCATTATTTTTCATAATCATTTTGGGTAACTTTTATTAATTTAAAATTTGAATATAAAATATTTTTAATGCTAAGTACAATCTTATGTTTAAATTTTAAACAAAAAATCTCGATAAGAATAGTCTAAGTATTTTGGAATAAAGATTGTAAAATTATTATTAATTTTAATTGTATTGAAACCAAATATTCATTGATGAGACTAATTTCACATTTTGAAATTTTATTATACTTACAACTCATTATGGTTTTTGGTTTTTGGTTTTTATTTTTTTATTTCCTTTTCCTTTTCCTTTTTTTTTTTTTTCTTTTTTTCTTCTGTATTACTGAAATCTAAAGTTAAAATTCTAATTTAAATGGAATTAGTTTTTAAGTTGAAGTTTTACTTTCTTATATTTATTTTTTTACAAAAATTAAAATAATTAATCAAAATTTAGGTAAATAAAACGACATATTAAAAAACACTTTAAACTTCTTTTTGGTTTAAATAATTGATAATAAATAAAATAAAATTACACAGTCATATGTGTTTTAGTGTTTTATTTAAATATCTAACACATAATAAGATTCAACAATGTTTGTTTGAATTGTAAATTATATAAGTTAATTTTATAAATGTCGTATACTCCATATTGCAGTCAAATATAATTTTTTTTTGCATGTCCTTGTGTGTTATATAAATTACAATTTTTTTAAAAAGTAAATTTTAGTAATTTTTTTCAACCTTCGTATACAAAATAAATAAATATATTTTTTAATGTACTTAACAACCTATTTAATGCTAGCCAATTGTTTAGAACTTTTACATGCCCATTTGTACAAATCATCATAAAACAAGAAAGTTAGTCCTGTAACAATCAATGAAAAAAATGGAAAATTACAATTGGCAAAAATTGAAACTAGCAAACCACTTAAAAGAGATTCTACATGGTAATAATAATTACAAAACAATGAGGGTCAATTGAATTTACTAAAGTTTAATTGAAAAGAGCCAATATAGAATTTAATAAAAAAATGCCACTTTCAAGCAGGGAGTGAGGAAGATGACCACAATTGTAGGAGAATATTCAATGAAGACATAAAAGGTGAATCTAAAAATGGCAGGCTCTACATAAAGTTAATCTTAAATTATAAATAAAATAGAAGAAGATGAGAGCAAATATGTATTGCCAACTAAAAAAAACTCATCTATATTTCCATCAAAGAATCAACAAGGGGAGTCAATAATCCTTGGATTCACTCTTCAATCATTGGTACCCACAAAGTTATCTCAATGGATTCTGCATGCATTCCATTCTCCTATTCTTAACACACACACACACACACAATGGTCATTCTACTCTATTCACAAATCTAAGTATCAACAAAACCATAAAAAAAAACAAAACAAAACAACTGTCAGTCAACGCCGAACAACATTGTCAACGTGCACAAAGGTTCGATCTACACACACTTTGTAAGCTTTTCGGATATATTATCACTTCCAATTGATAGAGTGATGGAGAGAGAGAAAGGCAACAACTCAACTGTAGGTCATTATAGGGGAGTGTGCAGGCACCACCGAGACCTGTTTGTTGTTGCACGCCGCCCTAAGCTGAGCTGAGCTGAGCTGATCTTATCTTGTTCGAACAGTGTGTTCCTCCAGCGCTAGATGCTCCAACGAGTGTGTAATTGTGTGTGTGTGCATAACCGTGGTCTTTGTTGCTGGTCAGCTTGCAGGATTCGTGCTGGTTTGCGAGTTCTACTTTTCCACCTTACTGGCCTTGTTGTCTGGTTTCCGTCTCGCCACCGACATGTAACTTGTTTCCCGTGACTGATTCCGGTGAAGTGCTGGTGCGGCGGACGATCCTGCACGCGTAGTGGGTCTTACCCCCTCACATGAATCGGCTCTTTTACCTCGGCTTTGTTCTCTGGGCCTTGCTTGAGAATCTGTTGGCAGGCATTGTTGCGTTGTGGAATCTGAATTGATGCGCGACAAGTGCGGCTGAGAAATCGACCTCATTGCACAAACCGCTTGGGAATTTATGACGCAACTGTTGAATTCGTTAAATAGTTTCGGCTCTTGATGCACCTGAAAATACGCCAACTATCTTGTGGTTCGTCGGCAAATGAAAATGTGTTAGTTGGGAAAATTTGGAACATGTCGACAGCAACGAAGTGATGGGTGGCGAAGGTGTGTCAATGGTGTGGAAGCTTGAGTATTCGTGATCTTGAGTAGCCACGTAATAAAGTGACGAGGAATATGAACATTATCATATCAACCGTATTATTAACTCCATGATTGAAAAGATTCACGTTATTATTCTTACTGTTGTGTCCCTGAAGTCAAAGCACGAACGCAATCTAGAGATCAGGTCTAACCGATCTTTGGGAAAGAGATTTCAACCTCACAACAGTGTTTTGACCCCACAAGTTTGCCGAATCCTGCAGCTGGCGGGTTGGGATGAGCTCCATAATCGTGGCTGCGGCGAATGGGTTAGGTCCATCCCTAATCTCCACCACGAGCGCGAGATCCGTTGGCCCAAGCTCGACAAGGATGGCAATAGTGGCGATGGTTGCACTGGAACCTGGGCATCATGAGCTGCTTGACCTGTAATGAGTTTAAAACCTTCATTTATTTTTATTTTATTTTTTTAATATTGCGGACGCACTACTGTGGCAGCTTGCTCCGATTCTTGGTGAAAAATGCTGACGAAACTGGCAACGTAAATGAGTCTTCACTTCCAGGGGCCCATCTCACAATCCTTCGAAAATTTGCCAGAAATGGATTAAGAAAACTGCAGGGAACTATGCAATTCACGCCAAGAGTTGATCTGACGTGTAATCTCTCTTCTTTCCAGACAGTTCTGACAGCCCTGACCTTTTTCCATGGATTGAAACGCTCGGTTCTGAAGATGGTAGAGAACATCGATGAATACAGTTCAGCGTTATTGACACAGAACTGACTATCGTGACGTACATTCGTGCAACTCCAGAAGCCATGGCGAAGATCCTTCCTGCTAAAACTGTGTTATACCCTCTCCCAAGGTGGCAGGGTTTTCTTCCAGAGGACCCCTTTCTCGCACAGGAAGTAGCCAATGGTTGAAGCCTGACATTGCTGCACCTGGGGTTGATATTCTCGCAGCGGGTGTCGGAAAGGAGGACTACGCATTCATGTCTGTCACTTCGATGGCATGCTCGCATGTCAGTGGGATCGCTGCAATGCTGAAGGCTGTACATCCGACTTGGAGTCCGGGGGCGATTCGCTCAGCAATTATGACTACCGCAACTGCAAAAGATGATCTGGGCAACACAATCACTGTGGAAGAACAAGCAGCGCCGGTACCCCTCTAGATTTCGGCGCCGGGTTCATCCAGCCAGAAAAGGCTATGCATCCAGGTCTGATCTACGACACAAATCCGGACGATTACTTCCAGTTTCTGTGTGCACTGAGCTATGACACTCCACAGATGCAGAAGTTTATACACGGCCCATTCACTTGCCCTCCTCGTCTCCTGATAGAGCACCTTAACCTTCCATCTTTTACCACTGTGTTCAACAATCGGACAATAACCAACAAAACCCCAGTGAGATTTATCCGACTGGTGACGAATGCGGCATCTAGTAAGGAATTTACACTGTTTCGGTGGAGCATCCCAAGGGATTTTCAGTTTCAATCGAGCCCTCCACACTCAACTTTTCTCTACAGCAGATGGCAAGGTTTGAAGTCATTGTGACACCGATTGAAGCCACAAATCTCCAAGTGGTTTATGGCAGCATAGTGTGGTCAGATAGGCTTCATATTGTACAAAGCCCACTCGTCGTTTTCAATGAAGATAAATACTGAAAAAATCAAATCTGGAAAAGTTTTGTATATTCCAGAGATGGCAACCAGAAAGTTCTCACGCATGCAGGACTTGAGTCGAAGATGCTACAGTTTCGTCGGACACTACAAGCTCCCAGTAGTTGGACGACACTAGCTGATGCTCAATGCATGCAAGGTAGAGTATGTGGAAGAATTCTTACGTGTGCAGGTATTCCAAAGGGTAACTGCACCGCATACATCTTCTGCACAGTTAAAAGAGAATCTCGGAGATTGTTGCGAGCCAAGGATCACAGCTTTGAAAGAGCATCGCAGATCCTACATGGTGTTTTGGTTAAGGTTTACGGTTGTGCGCTCAGTTGCAGTAAGCTTGCCTGCAACGTCAGGAGTCCGGAAATCTGTGGGTGAAGGGATTCGTACCAGATTTCCTACTACACCAATGCTATTTCCATGTTTGGCTTGGTCTTCAAATAAAACTGTGTCTCCTGCTTTTTGCCACCTCTACATCCTATAACGCGCCGAATAGCAATGCTTAAGTTGCATGCGTTGGGTACCAAGCAACCAAATGTAAACATGGAACAGCTTCTTCAGCTTTTCAAATCATTGATGCTGCAGCTTTGAAAGCAACCTGGCGCGCTTGGCTCGTCGCTGTAGAGAGTCTAGGGCAACGTTTCGGCTCAACACCACGCTGGTGCAGATCCTTTTCACACGAGCCGTCTTTTGGGAAAAAGCCGAGCCTGATTGTGTCTGCGAGGGTCGCACCTCGATCCGACCCAGCCCACTTCTCCAACGAACGTTACCCAAGTTAGGGCATCCCGAAACTTCGGGTGAGAATACAAGGTTGAGGAAAAGATGGCGAATATTTGAAGCTGGCAGACAAACTTCTTGAAGCTGGCGGACGCAAATTTTGCATCAACTTGAGATTAGCAAGTACGATGCGGGATGGTGAGTTCCTATCGTGGTGATTGTTCATCCTCGTGCAGAAACTCAAATATCTTAATCAACGATAGTAATGATGCTGACATCCTTGCCGGAGAACGCAGAAGTTATTTTATTTTACTTGATTGGAGCAATGTGTTGAGTATAATGAAAATGTTGTGTTTGAGCACCTTGTGAGCGAATTGAAAATACGATCAGCTCATGTCGAGACATACATACAAGAATCATCCTTGGCAATGTCACGGGGTTTTGTGTTCGGATTTTAGACTGCCGAGAGCTTTGTTGTTTAGCGCACTTCCACGCTCATTGTTATGTTTGGCGATGGCTGTCGGATGATGCATGGTCCGGTTCTAATGATGTTGTCATGTAAAAACTTCAAGAAGTGAGGAATTGTAAGAAACTGTGCATGATCTGAGTGTTGCCTCTATTGACAAACTTCGTGACGATGGTGTGGATGAAGATGAACCACCCCCACTGGAAGATATGACAGGGCTATTGCAGAAAATGCACATGGGCACTAATCAGGGATCTGCTGGTAATTTCCAGTTCCTCGCCATTCTCTCTCCACAGTCCTTACGTCGACATTTGAACATACCCGAGTCACAACTATCAACAGTAAATTTGCTTCTTGTCATTCTTCTCTCTGTACAATCTGATGAAATTCGCATTGTTTTAAGAGGTTCATGCCTGTATCATAGGTGCCTTACCTTCATTACCACGGAGATGTGTCGCTATTCGAGAATTCATATTTAACAACAACTTCATCCTCATTGTAGACAGGAACCATTTGCCCCACATCACATCAAAAGCCTTCAGAAGAGGACGTGCACAATGTCCCGAAGAAGATCCTAAGGCGTACAGAAGATAAGACAACGTTAGTGGCCATTGAGGCAAGTAATCCAGTCTTGATCACCACAAATATACCTAAAGCAGAGCCGCCCCCTCCATCCAAGCCTCTGAAACCTTTCAAGAGGGGATTTCTGAATGCCCCCTTGAACCAAGCGAAACTGAAAGAGAAGAAGACGGTGAAAGAGGAAATCCCCTTGATCCGGCCAACAAAACCCAAGGGACAACACAGTGATATTCCAGGTAAATGATTCCAGGCATTCATCTGCGGATGTGTCCCTGACTCTTGTGGATTCATAGCAAAATTCATCTTATCATCTCATCATTGATTGCATCTCCACTTCCAACTTTACATGTAATAATCTCTAGTTCGCGTTACGATTGTGCAAGAAAAATTTATTGGTAAGCAGTTGATGTGTATTATTTCGAACGAAGTGACAAATGAGATACCAGGGTGCTTCTTGTATTAATATAATTTTTCGCTTACGTCTTCACACTAGAAAAATCTTGGAATTTTTTTATTTTATTCTATTTTATTTGTGTGTGTGTGTGCATGTATTTTGGTTGTAACAGAGTTTTTGCGCGTGCAAGACTCAGACAGGATCGCACTCCAGAAAGAGATAAGAGGTATTGCTAATGTACACAGTCGATTGAATGTCATCCTGTAGGAATAACTGGACCAAACGGTGGGTGCAATACCCACATCTGGACCACATGAACTTAGAAGCTTATACGTAATTCTGAAACTACTACTGACGTGAGATGCAGACATGCTTGAACCCACACAAGAACTGGTCAAGGATGTGATGGAGACTACCGACATAAAGAATGGCCTCGAAGATCCTGAGATTATGGCAGCTGTATCAGAAATCGCTGGAAACCCAGATGCAATGCTCAAATACAAGCACAACAAGAAGGTCACCGCGTTCTACAACCAGCTAGGGATATTACTAAAAGACCGCATGAACGAGCAGGATAAGGTTGCTGCTACAAAAGAGAAGCGAAATACCAAACCGAAATGATTCACCCCATGTAATATACAAGCAATCAATTTTTCAATACCTACCCTATACATCTCAGTACAATCCCAACCAATTCTTTCGCCGTGTCAAACTATAGTGAGCCTCGAAACATGATTCTCAATATTGCAAGTCCTAAGGCCTACAATAATACAAGGGGATATGAACAACGCAGGAATTGCTAGCTTAACCACCTAGTGAGGTTTTCGACTCAGTAATATCTACATGTGATGAATAACTACCTACAGCTAGAAAGGTTGGGTTCCTACATTTACTTCCCAGTAACGTCCTACGAAATCCTCCAGGTTAGCTCCAGTTGAATCATTCCAGGAGAGTCCACCAGCTGAAACTTTTCGTTGATGGTCTTGTTATTCACTACGTCCTGAAGAGGAATGTCTACATACCCCAAAGACTCCTGCACACATGGAAACAGTGAACGGCGTTTACGCCATGCGTGTAATCAATTGCACCTAAATTAGGGAAACTATCCATGCGAGATGGACATGAAGATGAGCTCAAATCCATCTTACATTCTACAAGCTTGAGTCTTTTACAAATGGATGTTTAACATGCCAAATTTCACTAAAGCATCAACTTAAGAACACTAAACTCTTAAGAATTCCAGAGCATAGGATGGACCTCCGGGGGATAAAGACTTCAGAATACTAGAATCACAGATTTGCTCATAAGAAAAATTTATACAGATTACATCAACAGCACGAAGAGATGAGAGAATTACCTGACGATGAAATAGATTCATGCTTGAGCGCTTGCTAAGAACCTCAACGTGCAGGCTATCACTAATTGGGGAGTCGTCCAGTTGCCAAGAAAATTCTTGCTCCCAACTTGGATCTGTGCTCTTCTTGATCACCTGAACAGTCAAGCCTGGCACGATTAATTACTTGGTTCAAGACATAGCTACACGTCAGTCTAAAAGTAGAATTTAATGTAGACAGAAAGAAAGAAAGAAAGAAAGACATGTGGCTGAAGCTGGAGGATTCAAATTGAGAGCATACCAAAGTTTTCTTTTTATCCCCACGAAAATGCAACTCCACGAAGGGATTGGTGTGATGCTTGCCTTCCACTTCCTCAGCCTGATGGACTGTGACCGACAGGACACCTCCATGATGAGGTACGCTCTCTGACGCGCTGTGTGATTCCTCTGCAATATCTGCCTCATTGTCATCCTACAGCAATTTGTGTACGCTTAATCGCAAATTTCAACACTTTCCCAATGGTATGGTACGGAATATTGGCACATTCATAACTAACAAAGTTCCTTTGGTTCGACTTCAAAGCAGTGTTACGCAAGTAAGAAGCTTACTTCCTTGAAAGCCTTGAAAGTCATTTCAAAAACAATGTCGCCTCGGGATTTCTTAGAGTTAGCTTCGTCGTTAGGGTCCACGTTCTTAACCAAAGGCAAAGTAAACGATTTCGGCTCGTCGTCCACCAAATCCTTTAATGGCACGATCTGCATTCCCATTTTCTCGTGTGCTCCTAACTGCCAAATATGTAGTTTCGTACATAAGCAGCATGTTCAAGATTCAAAAGAAATGGTCTGGACAGAATGCGGTTGTTATCGACCAATGCGATAGGAATAATCCTGTAACTGTACTAAAAGCTGTGAACATGCGTTGCTTTAGAAAGAAAGTCACAACCAAAACATCTTCTCTTCTAAAGTATTTGGTAGCATAGCGGAGACAGGAAAGCATTGGGCAGAGAGCAGCGAAGCAAGGAAAGTTTTTGCTATAAAAACCTTCTCCCAGTCAAAAACTTCCAGCTCAAGAGATTGTGATTTGGGGTCCTGAACCGGAAGCTTGAAAATCTCATGCCATTCAGGGTTCAATGTATTCGCCTTTGTGCGTGTTGTCTTCGAAAGCACACTGTTAACCAAGCGGATTTTAACGTATGGGTCAGCTTTGCCCATGAAGTCCGTCTTCAACAGGTTCCTAGCTCGAATAATTTTCACCTCAACTGTTCCCACTGGCCTCTTCGCAGCACTGCCAAGGACGCAATACTGAAGTTGATACGGCTTGAAAAACCAAGCACATGAACGACATAGGACACGTAAAACGCAACAGATTTGAGCACCTGTGATCATCAATTATAGGAATTTCTAATGTCTTTGGCCACATGTACATTTCAGCAACACGATCTCTGATAGTATCCTGCTATGAACAATCAAACACTAGTTACTAAAACATCGAGGTGTAAAATCAGTCAGAGCCCGAGTATCTTTACTGCAAAATCGAAATGCAATTGGTCAATGTGTCGACAGTAAGACCACGTACCTGAACGAAACCGTAAAGACCAGGAATTGCCATGACATCCCCACCCAACAGCTTCAGACCAAAATCTATGTGAGGCTGCCGACACAAAAGAAATCTAAGTTTTAAAACAAGAAATAGCCATAAATTCAACTACTAAAATCATAAGGATATCTTAACACAATTCCAGAGCAAATGAACATATGCCCAATACCCATGATAGACAAGAAAATTATCTCCCATAGTAGCTTACAAGTTCATGAACTATACATACCTTATCCATTAAAGAGATGACTACTTTTGAGAAACAAGGGAACATGGGAACCAAATGCTTTAGTGTGATTCTCGCTGTTGCAAAAGCCTGCACATCTACAAGCTACATGGCCAAATCCAAGCATTGTCATGTTCCAGGATGTTCTCAAACCATTCGAAAACCTTCGAACTAAAGAATTCAGAAAAATAAATAAATAAATAAATAAAACCGACAGATTGACCCTCAACTACATAAATACCACCAGGAACAATCTCTTGAGCTTTAAGACTCAATCAGCGAAGTCATGAACTGACCTGCACTGTTGCTTTCAAGCCAAAAGCTTTCACAGCAATAATTATATTTGGATTTCCAGCGAACTTGAAGGAAGGCTCGAAAATTATCTCCCTTTCCTTGGTATCGTAAACTTTCATACCTGAAAAACAAAATGGTAGCTGAAGTATCAGAGAAATAGCCTACCTGCTGCTGTTGATCATTCAAAGAAACCACATTCAAAACATGCAATGCCCACCTACAGGCAGGAGCACTGGCGGAAAATAATTCTTACCAACAAAAGTAGGAGGAAGTGTCCCCAAGGTAAGCGACTCGAAGTCGATAGAGTTCATCATATACTTCGAACCATATTTATCAATGTAAGGCTGTGCTTTCTTTCGAAGCTTCTTACAAATCGCCTGCCGTAAACGTGTAGCTATCAAAAGCGTCAGTTATTCTCATTTTGCCAAATTTTGTCAATATTTATGTACAATCATCAACTAAGAGAATGCGCTCATATGTTTCCAAAACTGAATTCATGGTACTTTCAGAGCTATCATATTCCTGCATTGAACAACTCAAAAGGAGTTTTCCGACTTCGCAAGTAATCAACATGAAGACATTCAGTTCCAAGCATCGCTGCAATGCCTACATTTCAGAATGAACTAGGAATACCTTTTCAAGACAGGGCCAGATGTCCTTCAAGAACTTGTTTAACCAATCGACCTGCAGACAGTAAACGCATTCATGTCAATCTATGCATTATGCAGGAGCTGCTGTTAAAATCCAACTGAGATTTCATAGCTTAACAAAGACTTTAGTCCCACAGAAGACAGCTTGCACTGTTTTCTGATCACTGCAATAAAATGGGTAAACATGACCAATAAAAAACTCATTTGAAGCATTGGAATTATGTTGAATCGACATAAAAACGAAACCCTGATCAAAAACATTGCAAAAGTATAAAAATATGGTGCCTTTACCCGATCGTAGTCTGGATTCTTCACCCATAGAGGAATTTCGTTAAGCAGCTCTTCCAAGGACCGTGCATCCAACTCTCCCAGTTGACGAATGATAGGATCCTGTAACCATTCGACAACACCTTAAGCAAATCGGGTTGAAAGATCGCAAACCGTACCATACCACGACGACGAAAACTTGCAACAAGTAACCATCCATTGTTGTCTGCAATGTACAAGAAAACTTTGATGCAGAAGCCAAAAACTCTATAGCTCAGGCTACTGCCATCCCATTCTAAACTAAACCCCATTAAAACACCACCGACCACAAGCCCCGACCCAAAAGGTCAGTGGATCCAAAACAGAAAACCAAAAGTCACGTAGAGTACCTGCAACAAAGTCCTTCTCTCCAAAAAAATACCAAATGCAACAACAATAAGACCAACACACATTCCTTCAAACCCATAACTCCAAGTTCCCCAACTCCATAAACTCGAAAACCAAAAGAATTCATGCATCCATCATATGTCACAAACACAGAGTAGACACGATACAGAAACATCACTTGCACTTCAGCAGGCTGCATGTAGATGAAGAGGAAGTATCCGATCCCTAGTCCAATGCTCATGCCCCATCCAAACCCCACTAATGCAAGAATCGTACCAACGATCCCCATTATATAAAATAGGGTCTCTCTCTCTCTCTCTCTCTCTCTCTCAAATCGTGACGATTATCTATAAGTCGACGTGCAGTCAAAGTTTCACAATTATGACGAGAAAATTGGAAACGGAGGGCGACGAGGAGGAAGTTGGTGTTGCATGGCAGTGAAAAACGTGATTGGGCACCAAGCAGAATGTCATGGTCATGGCTTTTCTGGGTGAGGTGGCGGCGTCAGAGAGACGAATTACTTACGCAATCACCATTTGGACGCCTAGGTGGCCCATAACGGCCGTGGTCAGTTGCGGCCCTCGCTTGCTGTTCGAACGCACGCACGCATTTACGCACGCACGGGTTATTTTATCGAGTGCGATGGTGCCGGTCGAGAGTGTTGAGACTTGTTGCGCAATCCGGGATCCGCGTGGAGGCATCGATCCCGCTCTGAAAATGTACAATTCGTCGCCTGCTTCCTCTGTCCATCACTGTTGCTCTATACCCACGATATCACCTGAATTGCCGAATTCGTGCGGTTTGAGTACTTCACTGGCACCGACGGCCACCATGAGGTCACACTGAGGAAAACCACACTCAGTAACAATCGGAAGCACATTCTCAACGAAATCGCCCCGAACACCTCACCTTACTGACTCGTCAGTTTGAAGAAGAAGAGGAAGAAGAAGAATGGGGAAAAAAAAGCACAAGCTCCCTTCATTTCCTCATTGATCCCTCAGCACATGCCTTCGTTAAGCTCACAAACCCGAGCACGAACGATCTCATCTCCTGTCAATCCACTGTCTCCGCAGCTCAAACGTGTCCACCAGCATCCGATTTTTAGGGCTTGGCTCCATGGCTCTTTGTGTCGGCGAATTTGTTCGGTGTTTGAGAGGTGATCTTGTCAATCCAGCAGGTGGGAATTTGGGTCCGCCGCCGTGTTAGGTAATCCTGACGTCAAAGGTGGGAAATTTGTGAGCAGGTCGTCCGCACGATGGAGCGCAGACAATTCCACGGCAAAAGTCCTCCTGGTGGTGAGCTATGCATGCAAAAGACTGCATTCTTTTCTTTTCAAGGAACCATATTTGCTAGTGCAATGAACTTCAAGTGCGTCGATGTCGAAGCTCTTCAAAAGGGTTCGACAATTGTGTGCTCAACGCAAGAGATTTGTGGATGAGGCAAACAACATCATCATCATTTACAGTATGAAAGCAATTTTTGGAACAAATGAAAGGTTTATAAATGTAAGATTGTAATTTAAATGCCATAAGAAATACAGTTTGACCCTATTTCAACACATTCTCCTGTTGCCACTGACCTTTCGACACTGTCCTTCTGAATACTGCATATAGTTTGACCAATTTCAACGCACTCCAATAAAAAACCTTTCTTTCAATATTTGAGTTTTTTAAGCACCATGTTTCCTTTTGTCATTGTCTTTATACTACATACCCACTTGCTTACATATCCACTTGCATTCTAAAATTGAAAGAATACAACTCACTACACCTCAGACGTTTTAACACCAAAAGTATTGGGTATAATCAAACGAGTTCCTTGTTCCTTCAAATTCATAGCAGTTATTTATTTTTGTATATTTATATGTTCAATTTTGGGGTAATTATAATATTTGTTGTAACAATGATATACATAAGATTCAATTTTTAGGAGTTCATTGCAAAAAACAACATATTAAATGTAATATCATCAACTGTATTAAATTACCATATTTACACATACCATAATGTTTTGTGTCCTTGTTTGTTTTTTTTTTTTGTTTTTTTTTTTTTTTTTTTTACTTAACATAATTTTTTATATGACTAACATTTTATCAAACTAGTAACAATAATCCACTGTCATAACTATATATATTTAGTTATATATAGTTGTTGATTATCAATACTGTATTTTTATATAATTTTTAAAATCAACGTTGGTATATTGTATTGATTTAAAGGTTTTAAAAACATTGACTAATGATACATTTTTTTAAACAATGTCAAATTGCAATCCTAAATCATACATTAATTTATCCTAAACTTTGCAAACTGCACTTTGCAAACAACGTTGTAGAGTACAATTTAATATATTGCTCAACATAATTTAAGATTATTGTATTTCTCTTATTCCAGAATGCAGTGAGATAAAATTTCAAATGAAAGTAAAATTGTACTTAAGTATTGATTAATTTTTATTGACCTTTTTTGGGATCTTTTATAGATGGTCTATTTGTTTTGTAGATTCAGAAAAATAAACTAAAAACTAAATAAAGAGATTAAAAATGTATAACTAAATAATATTATACCATTTTTTAAAATGTAACATAATAAAATTCCAAATAAGATTAATAAAATATTCACAACTATCTGTTTGGGTTGAAACTTTATATTGTTTGATTGAAAGTATCATAAATTTTTGAATTGGAAATGTAAATAAATTTAATCTTAGATAATACCTCAAATTTCTTGATTATTGATAAAATTATCAATAAAGACATTTAAAATTCTTTTCTTCAATATTATTAATGATTAAACATGATTCTTTTTTGTTTGCTAAAGAGAAACAAATTCTGCCTTGTGTATATATTTGAAGGGTATCAATAAAAATAAAAATAAATGTGTACACATACATACATACATATGACATTCAAAGATCTTATCTCCAGTGATCATTTTTTTCTTTATTTCTCAATACTCACTATAACATATTACTCTAAAGAACACAACACGTTTTTCATAAAAAAAAATTGGAATGTAATATTTACACTTGCACTTACTCATATTTATTTCTAGAAACTGAATTATATTTCATTTGTAATCCATTCAAAATTATATTTCTTTTATTGTCAATTTAATAAGTGATGTGTAAATTTCCAGTTATACATTACTTTGGTGGGAATCCCAAATCTTTGTCATTATTTTCATATAATTTTGCAATCTTTATCCATATCCCACAAAACATTGATATCCACGCGTTTATTGCATGGACACCCTTGTGCCACACATCTCTGCATACACATGGTAAAAATCTTACTTGCACTAAAAGTAAAAAATTAGGATAAATTTACAATTAAAGGTTACATTATTAAATACTTAAAAAATATTTAAATATATATTTTTTTAAAAAATAAGTGTAAATATGTTATGAAGTTATATTAGATTTAATAAAAATAGACAAAAAAATAAAAGAATGAAAGAGGAGTGCCATGAGCAACTGCACACAAATCCTTTACTGAAAATTCATCCTATAACTTTTTAGTGTAAATTAAAGTTTTACTGTGTGTATGCGGGGATGTGTGACATGGGGATGTCCACATAAAAAAGGATAAAGTCTACCAAGCAATTCCTATAATGAATTACAATCAAAATTTTGAAAGTAATTTCTTTTAGTACAAAATGTTGTCAATTGTTTGAAATAATGTGAATGTGATAGATTGAGTTGGCTTGAAGCTGTCACAACAAACCCATCTTTATAAAATTCATTTATATGTTTGTTTTGTTTTGGTTTTTGGTTTTTTTTACCATGATTTGTAATTTTATTTTTATTTTTATTTTTTGTGTGTGTGGTTGATGAAGATTACTCCATGTGATAATTTGTTTCATCACTTCTCTAACCAAATATTTTGTGAGAGATGGAATTTACTAGTTTGTATAAAACAAACAACATGCACAACCATCATGATATTACATTAGTTAAACTCTTTTAAGAAACAAAATCATTGCACATCACCACATCCCACAACATTATTGTTAATTTAGATCCCAAACAATCCAAAAGCCAACTAATAAATAAAAAAGTAAAAACATTAAATAAACAACATACACAGTCACTCACAGTGATAACTAAACTCGTCTCAGGCTCAAAACACATGCAAGCTATTAATGACACCAATGAATGAACCCAATTATTTTGTCCATAAGCAATCCCCATGTGGAAACTTCCCACTCATGAAACACACTCACATGCATATAAACATAAACAAATACAACAAACTGTACCACACATACGCCGAAATGAAACAAAAGAAACACACCAAATCCAAAAACATTACTTAAAAAGTACAAAAATTAGTTCTTAATAAAGTAGTCAAGCTTGTAGGATTATTATATATGAGAATGGAAGGGGGCACGTCTTGGAGGGGACGCCCAGCTAGGGATGAAAGCATTAGAATGAAAGTATAGAAACAGGCGACGGATGATGAAATCACATTCATGCAGGGCCATGTCCTCTTGCTGCGAGCAAAATCTCACCGCCCGGGACAAAAGCGTGGGTTCGTCGTCTCTGCGACGAAGAATCGGGGGGCTTGGGCTAAATCGGGGACTTACGGGGGGGGGGGGGGGGGATTTCATTGACCGACGCTGATTGAGGAAGATGACACTAGCGCGCGCTCGGGGAAACCGTGAAATTACCGTGAATGGCAACGGAGCAAGAGAGGGAAGTGGAAACAACGACATCGACGAGGAGGAGGAGGAGGAGGAGGAAGAAGGAGTTGTGTGGCCCCGTTGAGAAGCGATGCTGGGTGGTTAAAAGGTTCAAGCAACCGCAGGGACCCAATTTTTAGGCAAAAGAAAGGGGGGCGAGGAAGGGCGGGCCGTGTTGGCATGATGCTACTGCTCTGCTGTGCTGTGCTCTACCACTCCGCAGCAGCAGCAAGTGGGTAGGGGGATGTGTCGCTAAAGTCTTCGCTCCCTTCCCTCCCGGGTCTTTTTTTGTTGACAATGGGGACGTCGCCTGATAGTAGCTTGGATGCATCGGCATCTTGTTTCTTCATGCGTAGCTACAGGAGCAGCAGCATTCGGAGGTGGTCGCGCGCAGCAGGGCGGGAAGAGTCTCTTGTTGGTGTTGGTGATGTTGCTGGTAAGCCGAGGGAGAGGAAGAAGAAGAGAAAGAAAGAGGAGGGATGAGGAAGATTCTACCTCGTTGAGAGTCTGCCCCATGTTTGTGGGTTTTCCTTTCCAGCTCTAGTTTTGTTGTGTTAAGGGTTGTGTGTGGCGAAATTGTAACCAGTGCCCATTTGTCTTGAAAAAGAGATTGTGTGTGTTGGACGTCGTTGTAAGCGCGTTGTGGCGTGGGTTCGAAGAAGCGAAGTAGAAGAAATTTCGTTTCCTGTGCGATGTGTTGTGTTTTGAGTTTTGGGTTTGTGTGATTGGAGCTGGTGTCGGTTGCAGTGGCGTTCGTAGTGGTTGTAGATCTTTGTTAGGGCATGTCATTTTAAAACCTCCGTAGATTGAACCATTCCTCATGAGTGTACTGTTTTTACGGGCTTCAAGGCTTTTGCGTCTCCGAAAGCGTACTCTGAGAGTTCAACCCGATTCCACAGCTTCCGAACGACTGTCACCCTTAAGCTTGCTTCAGTTGTAGGGGAGCTTCGAATCAACGCCGAATTGAGCCGTGAAGTGCAATTGGTGTAGTGATTAAGGAGCAGGATTCTGTAGTTTTGAAGGAAGTGCAGGGAATTATGGTTGTTCTTGCCATAATTTGTAGACTACCGGCGGGCGATTTCAGAACAGTTGTCACTTCAGGACTGCCGAGCGAACGGTCGTGTTGAGAAGCAATTCCACAATGCGGTGCGTTTGTTTTGTCCCGAAAACAACTGACGAAGATGACGATCCAGTTTATCAGAAAGGGGCCAACTCCAGTCATTCTTTCGCTCAATCTGTCGGGTCGATTGGGCCCCGTTCTATGCACAGCAGCATCGGAGGATATTCCTACTCCAGCCAGGATCTGCAGGCCAAGCCGCCTGGCGCGGAGACGTTCACCATGGTGGAGCTAGCTCATGCTACTGCTAATTTTTCTCCTCAAAACAAAATAGGGCAAGGAGGGTTTGGGACAGTTTATAAAGGTAGGCTCCGTGATGGCAGAATGGTGGCAATCAAACGAGGGAAGAAGGATGCCTATGAACAGAGGTTATCGGTGGAGTTCCGCACTGAGGTTGAGACGTTATCCCAGGTTTGTGAGGAACCCTCTCTTAGCTCGAACTAGAAGGACCTTGTAAATTCCGCCACAACCACAAGCATTCGGAAGAAAGTAACGATGCTTACTGTCTGAACTAGTTCAAATACTCATTGGTGTGCAGGTGGATCACTTGAATCTAGTCAAGCTTATTGGCTACACGGAAGAGGGTAGCGAGCGCATCCTCGTGGTGGAGTTTGTCTCAAATGGTAACCTTGGTGAGCATCTCGACGGTACTTACGGCAAAGTGCTGGACATGAGCACACGGCTCGACATTTCCATAGACATTGCGCACGCACTGACATACCTCCATCTCTACGCGGATAGGCCCATCATTCACAGAGACATCAAATCGTCGAACATTCTCCTCACCACCACATACCGTGCGAAGGTTGCAGATTTTGGGTTTTCGCGAGTTGGGCCGTCCACGGACGTCGGAGCGACCCACGTCTCCACGCAAGTAAAAGGAACTGCAGGTATGCATGCAAGACTTTGCAATCCTATGCTATTCGTTGTTGAGGGTTTTAGGGTTTCACGCGCAATTGTTGGAGACTCACCTGTTCAGCTATGGGTGTTGTTTTGCAGGGTATCTGGATCCCGAGTACTTGAACACGTACCAATTGAACACGAAGAGCGATGTGTACTCGTTCGGCATTTTGCTTGTGGAGATCTTTACAGGGAGGCGGCCTATAGAACTCAACAGGCCTAGTGATGAGCGCGTAACCGTACGGTGGGCTTTTCGAAAGTTCGTGGAGGGGAATATCATCGACATACTCGATCCCAAGCTCGAGAGGTCACCGGCTGCGGTGTCCGTGATTCAACGCCTGGCGGAGCTTGCATTCGCATGCTCTGCGCCTACGAAGGGCGACAGGCCGAGTATGAAGAAGGCAGCAGAAGTTCTGTGGGAGATTCGGAAAGATTACCTCGCTGAGCATCAGAAAGAGGAGAGGATCAAGGCTGAGAGGTCGGAGAGCATCCGAATGGAGAGCGCGAGAAGTGACATGTCGGCCGATTCTCAGGTCTCGCTTCACCAAACCTCAAACCGCCGACGGCCATCTTGGATTCAATAAAATTCCCCTCACTTTCTGTATTGGTTTCGTTCGATGACATACCCTCGGAGCTCACGTTGAGTTCATCTGCAAGCAGACCACTACGATCTCCGCAGCCTCCCATGATGTTCGTGGGCAGCTTATTTCGCTGTAGTTTCAGAGGAGACTGCGATTATGGCACATTAGCACCAGTTCTAAAACCGAGAAGGTACTCTGCACCGGCAAGACAGTGTCATATAGTTGTGGTGGAACCCTAGTGTGTGCTTGCTCACTGCAAATGTGAGGTCGTGGGACGGATCTCTCCATGGATCTCTCGAGAGAACCGCGAGCCAAGGACAGCAGCGCCGGAGGTACCACGTCTTGGAATCGATTGAATTGAATATTTGTGAAGGATGTAGAAGTTTGCATCAGATTCAGTGAGTGTTTTGTGCATCTCCAATGGCGCAGGCACAGGGTAGTTGAGCAGTTGTGCAGCAACTACCAGTGGATTGTTTTGTGAGCATTGGCTTTGCCACGGATGTGTTCCTAAGTAATGCCAAGTATTATAATTCTCGCGCAGAGGCCTTGAATAGATGATTGAGTTATTCACATGCTTAGATCTAACGATTTTTCTCGTTCCTAATGACTCATCTGCATGCCTCGATGTACGATTCTTCTACTCCTCTCTCTAAGGTTCTCGAAGTATTCTCTTCCTCGCTCTACTTTTGAACATGAGTGGGAAACTTCAAATATTGTATAATACCAACCGGAACAAACTCAGCACTGCCAGAAACTCACTGAGGCCATAACAGAAGGTGTTAGCAATCTTAGCTTAGGCAACATTAGGCAGCCCACTCAAGGAGTTGTGGTCGACTGGGAAAAACCCACTTCACGAAGAGGTAAAGAATTTTGAGATCAGACCTAAGAACTGTAGGCCAAATGTAGACGCCGAATTGAAAATCACATTCTAGTGCATCAGTTGCTAGTTCTTTTGCATGCGCCATAAATTAATGGGCAAATATCTTATAGGCCCTTGAACTTTCTCGAAATATCAAGACTACCCCTGCTTTTTTTAATAATTGCAAAAATGCCCTTTGGGCTGATAACCTCTCTAATTCCTGGTTTTTATTTAGTTTGAACTGGGTCCCGGAGCAGGCCCCAAGCAGCACTTTCCGCACCAGCCTCACATTGGAGAAATGCTGCGCATATAGGATCGAAAACTTGGATGAGACCCTCGAGGCGTGTGTTGCTCTTGATGTCGATCTCGTGTAATTCAATGCGATCGCTCCATGGCTACCCCAACGTTAGCAAATTCTAGATCTTGACACCACACATATCAATGGCCAACGTGTTTCGTCGTCTCCATGAGTTTCTTACAAAGATGAGATCCAATGAACCCACCCGCATCGATCATGCAAATCCTCAGGGGCTTGATCTCCTGCCCATCGCTTTCACTCCTGACGTTTTCGAACACTTGCTATGGTTTCTGGAGGGTGCTACTGCAGAGTTCGTGGAAGAAACTATCATGGGGCAGGATCGCTCCAGATAGATGTAGTTCGGTCTACATAGCATTGGGTTACGAGACTTTCTTCCCAGCAGCATGCTGCGGAGTGCTACACCCCGATCGGTATCTTTAGTGGAGTTGAAGCGTCTCCTGCCTTTTTTGTATGCACTGTGAAGAGATCTTTAGGATGTCTGCTCCCAGGGACTCAGCACGAGAGAAATAAAAAAAGGAGCAAAAGGGTTCCTCTTACATGGCGTATGTGCACCTCAATCAAACATTACAAGGAAAATTGGTCATCGTAGTATGAAAGTTTTGAAGGTGTGTTTCTTCCAGGGGGTTTGCTGATTACTTCGCAACTTTACTGCCAGTAACCAGTTGAAGCCCGCATTTCAGACCTTCAATTTAAAGCCGCAGTCCACGGCAATGGATCTTTTAGCACTAGGGAAGAATTTACCGATCCTCGTTCAGACCTTTTTTTTTGTGCTCCTTTGAGCGTGGGCTTAGGCTACAGCTGTTGTACACTACAACAAATTCAGAAATCCTGCATCTGAGTTTGAAGTAGTACTGATGGAACTCTGCCGAGTAACAAGCAAGTCGGTGCCTGAACGCAATTTTGTCTTTTTTGTCACTGGAGCTGCCAATCTTTGCAGAGACTCACCTTTTTTTTTTTTTTCTTTTCTTTTCTAATAGTACTTTGTTTTTCCACAAAGAAGTTACTGCTTTAAAGCTAAACAGGATGTAACACTAGTTCCAAGAGTGTTAAATTTGATGGACATGGTTGTGAGTCTTTCATTGCCGTGCTTCATAGTTTTGAGGGTTAATGGGGTACTTGGGTTAAGATACGTAGCTAGCTAGCTGCGATGAGGATTCTATCTTTACTGTACAGAGGAGTCCCTTCCCTGGGATTGCAACTCGACTCACGGAGACCGTTGCAGTAATTTCACTGCATCGGAGCTGTCACAGTGAAGACATTTTACCCCTACATTTGGCCCATCGAACTCATTGCCAGTGTAATCGCTGGTTGAATGAGAGGCAAATTCTTGTACCATTCGTCTGGACAGCATACCAATTCAACTTGTTACTCCTCCAGAGCGCTGGGGGTGTGCGAAGAGGACTTCGGTGAGAGGGTCCCATCCAAGTTTCCAATCCTGTATGCGCAGCATTTCATCCAATGTGAGGCTGGTGCGGAAAGTGCTGCTTGGGGCCTGCTCCGGGACCCAGTTCAAACTTAATAAAACAGGAATAAGAGAGGTTATCAGCCGAAAGGGCATTTTTGCAAATATCAAAAAAAGCAGGGGTACATGTGATATTATCAAAACTTGAGGGGTATTCTTGATATTTCGAGAAAGTTCAGGGGCATGTGTGATATTTGCCCTAAATTAATTCATTCTCAGCTCCTGACGAAGTACGTCATCAGTATGTTTCAAGCCAATTTTCAATCTGGGGACTTTGTCAGAGTAAATTCTTCTTCACCATGAAGACTGTTTGCCACTAGCTTCGAGCATTTATCACATACAGGTTCTAGTGCACATCGGGCTCGGACAGCCTCACGCAATCTAAAGGCTTCACCCACGCCTGTACCTACTGTGATTGATGGGTTTCCGCCTAACGGAATCGAAGAAAGACGAACTGCCATCGACCATCAACACAAGATCGTGAAGCCGCGTGATCGGTCAGCACTATTAGGAGTTTTCTGTGATTTCCAGGAGGTGTCTGACAGTGGTAATGAATCATCATTACGTGAAATCTGAGCATGAAACTGGAAAGCATTTCATGGATGCGGTAATAGAATAGGAAATGCATCGTTGGAGGTTGAGGTTGAGTGTTTTTTATTTGAGGGAAGTGGTGGGGAGCTCCAATCGGGGCCAGGGATGCCGAATTGGCCGTTGGGTATCTGCGGTGTCAAATTACTTTATTCGGCTTATCCATGTGGCATTTTATAGCTTGACTTTTCCAGAGATGAGGTCACAGCCCACTCCTTCCATTTCCAGCGACGCGTGATGGTGGGGCAACAGGGCCTGGTGAGTGGACGTGAGCGATTGAAATAAATTCCTGTAATTGCCAATTCTCTGAAAATAGATTTCCGCCCTCTTTACAGGGATTTCCTAGTGGTTATTGTAGATGGGATTGGACGGATAGGTTGGTTTTACTGCCGTGCGTGAGGTGTTTGAAGGTGACTGGGCCACACGAGCATTGGAACGTTAGTGCGCGCCAAGACGAGGGTACACAGAAAATTTCAAAGTGACCCGGTTTTCCAGCGCTCCAGTTTGGTCGTTCCGCTGTGGGAATGCTAGCATTGATTATTTTTTTTGTTGTTGTTGATGCAAATCATGATCCCAGCGATGGCGTCGTTGCTTTCTCTCGCCGCACGAGCTTCCGGCTGGATGTTTCACCGGTCGAAACTATGAAATTTTGTGGATTCTCGAGATTTTATTCAACAAAGGCGTGTCTGAGTTCCCGTTTGTGGGTGCGGATTCCGGGGTTTCCGTGAAACGGAGGATTGGCTTAGCTTGACTCCTGGGGGCTTTGCTTTGCTTGGCATCTCTTGGCTTCCACGTTTCCGGATTCAACAACAGGTTTAGGAGATCAAAATCGTGCCTTCTGTAGATTTCGTGGTCCAGATTGGTGAAATGTGGATGATGGGTATCGGATTGCGTAATGTGGCGTGAGGTAAGTGGGCCGCTGCGTAGGCGCCACCAGTAACGCGGACCAATTCACGTTCATGTCTTCTGTCTTCTGATTTGCGATTATGCGGACAGTGCTCCGGGACGTTTGAACGTTGCAAGAATGAATTGAAGAAGGCAAGTCAGTGTGAAGAGTTCCGCTGGTGATTGGGAAATTCGCATCACGCGGTCTCATCGCTGATTTTCGCAGGAACATGCATTTGTCTGTAACTTTCTTTCCTGTTGCGTTGTGATTTTGAAGATCTATTGTGCAATTGATCATGTCCCAATAATCGAGTTCCTTTGAGAAAGGGGTTTCAGCTTAGGAGTCCCGAAAGGGGTTCCTCTTGGATTGCAGGCATACTTTTTATAATCACCTCCATCCAAGGTTTTGCTTCGCCGTCCTTCTCTAACGGGAAGATCATCGCTGCGGTCGTGCGGCTACTACCAGAGTTGTGGAATTCCATATTCATGAATTGAGAATTTGAGGACCTCCTGAACTATTAATTCATCAATCTCCTGCACGAAGCCGCGCGATTTTAGAACACAGTGAGGGCTGTTGGTGTTTCTCCCCAGGAATTTTCGATCTCGTAATGAGACCATTCGGAGCAGGGGAAATTGCGCGGGATTTTGAGGGGGGTTGTGAAGACTGAGTCAATCTTAGGGAGGTCCAACGGATGGCAATGTAGAGTAATGTTGGCTCACTCGACGATGCAGCACAATAGATTTCTGGTGTCTTAAACATCGCGCATCATGCACAGGCAGGCTATGCTTGTGTCTTTGTCACTGTCCCCAGCGTCCACTGCTGCCATGAATGACAAGCGCTGGGCTTTCCTGGTGCGTTTTCCTCCCGTGATGTTTTACCGTGCTCATGTGAAATATCTCTTAGTCCTTGAACGTGATGAAACTACTGATGTATACACCCTGGTCACTTGCACGTCTCTGGGATGACACCCTCCACGTGTCGGACGTACTCTTTCTCATTGTTAGCATGGATCCTTGACTCACAGGAAGAAATAGATGCGCCTCAATGGGCAGACCTGAAAGTTGAAGAAGCTTTGGCAAAAGCAGGAACGATTGGGTAAGCATCTTGGAGCTATGATCCTGGTTTTTTTCTTTTGTAAACAGCCTAATTAAATGTAAGATGGGATCAGGTACCTCCAGAGGGGATTGAAGTATCTAAATCTCAAGAATTTGACTCGGGTCTCTCAACGTATCACATTCTCTTAATCAAATCACTTTCACTTTCACTCATCGCCTACTTGTACCTTTGAGGCAATATCTTCATGCAATTCAGCTGGGCTTTTGCTGTCACCAGCACCTTTGATGAGATAGATCAGCTTTTGGTATTGAGAAGCAGTTAAAAAGCTAACCTCTCTGTGTCATTCGTTTGCCTGCAGAGACGACCCTTGGTTCTATCGTAGCCATTCGTAAGTTTAGATTCCCTTTCAATCGTGCTTTCTCGTCACTCAGAATGGATTGTGCCACCCGTACATTGGTCTTTCCTGAGGTACCCGGCATTTGTGTTTTACTGAATTACCTAAGACCTGTGCAGGCATCACGAGGTTCCGCTAACAGATATTACCGGCGTTAACGCTGCCGACATTAAAGACCTAAATTCCAACTTCCGAGCAGCTCAATTAGATAGGAAGAAGAAGCATGGTACGTCGAAAGGGAAGCTTGCTTTTGATGGTGCCACTGTGACCAAGACCAAGGATACCATCAAGGAAGAACGTCACGAAGAAAGTCCAAGAGCTGTGTATAGCTCAGGGTGCCATGACACTTTTGTTGAATCCCCGAAGGATTGCATCGCTTCACCAATTCTATGTAAATCACCAGAAAATATCTTCGGTTCCCGGAAGTTCATAACTACTACCTCAGATGACTTTCTGAGATCATCTGATGGACTTGGGGCTCTACAAAGCTTCAATTCTAGATTCAATTTACGTGAAAGCCTTATTGCCAATGGCTGCACCAGTAGGGATTCTGATGTAAGGAACAGTCAGCCAGAGATAGTGAAAAGCAGACACAACAGGTCCATATCGGATTCATCAGCGGGGCAGTCAGGAATTTGTGAGGATGAGGACACATCAGCCCAGCCTAAAGCAGCTTGGCAAGATGCAATTTTTTCTAGACTGAATGATACAAGTAGTCTGAGAAAGAGCCTCGGTTCCGCAGTTAGAGGGAGGACTGACGGGTCTGATGACGCTTCTGTCAACAAACAGGGAGCAGGTATTGTGGTTTTCAGATTTATTGTCTTTAGGCTTTCTTACGAAAGCTCGAAGACTGGCCTGAAGCATTTAGAATGTTAAAATGTACAATTTTATGCTGTCTCACTAGCTTGGAGTCGTCGTCACCCACTTGCCCACAGTGTATGTGACCCGTTTCTTCGTTGCCCGCTGAAAGCAATGTTTCCGCATTCATTAAGTATCATTTGACACGTGTGGTGCTACTCTGCAGGTACACTTCCTAAATCTAGACTGGTCCGTCAAAGCGCGGAGCAAAGCTCCGCAGTGCAACCAGCGGTCAGCAGTTCTGCGACAGGGTTTACCGCTATCAAGAATTATGATGGTGCCTCGACTGCGAGTTCTCGATCTGATGCTGCCCGTTCTTGTGACGTGAGCTCTGGTTTTGGATTGGTCAATAAGCTGGGAGTTAATTCCTCTGTTCAAGCTTTTGATGATATTCGTAGAATGAGGAGAAGCTGGGGGTCTGCATTACGGGTAGAAGTGAGTGACGATTCGTCAGTTGAAGACGCAATTGCGAAGCATGACGTTCCTGAAGCGCCTCCAGTTTCTGATGCGAAGGCTTGCTCACCTCTGAAGCTAGATAGAATGGCAATCGACTTTCCATCAGTGGTGGACTTGAAAGCTATCAGAACTGATCTCGTAGAAAAGAAGCTACCTGACATCGAAGTGCCTGCGCTGGCCCGGGCTGGTGAGCGCAGATCACAAATTTTTAGTGGCAAAGGGGAAGATGCAGAATCGTCTTCACCAAGAGTTATTGCAAACGGATCGAAGAAGAACTTCAGGCGGTCTGTGTCATTTGATCATACTTCGGGTAGGGGGGCGGACAAGACCCCCGTTCCATCTCGAAGCTCTCTTCTTCAGCAAAAACAAGCTTCAAGAGCTTCTCCGATTTCGGCCTCTCGTACTAATGGCGTGGTTAGAAAAGGAGAGAAAGTCAGTCTCCTCTCGAAAGGAGGCAAAGAGAATACGAGAATCCAATCTCCATCGAAGTCAAAGCTCAACCCAGGTACTCTTCAAATCCCCCTATAAGCAACAAAAAAACACAACATTAATAGTATTGTTCATCTTGACTGAAAAAATTTACATTGCTCAGTCCTTGAACAATGTGATGTTTGATCAGTTTCTTGGAAGGTAGTTCTGGAAGCTGTAGATCTGAAATTTTAATAGTTGACCGAAGAAACCCTCGCACAAAAATACGTGATCAGTCAGTTTGAATAGATTTTAACCATCAGCCTCTCTTGTACTGTCTTTTGTATTCTCCTGACAGAACCAGCAGTAAGCAATCTGTTGCCCAGGATGAGTCGGCAATCCGTTACCAGGACGAGTATGCCGAGCCTGACGTTTGCTGCCCATGCTAGAGCTGCCATGAGAGAAAATGGAGGATCTAATCTCAAACCTAGCAACAATGGCGTTCTAGACACAAATGTATTAGATTCCAGTAAGGCTGCTACATCCACTGCTACGTCTGCCGTTAGGAAATCTGTATCAGGATCAGAAATCGGATCTCGGAAGAAGACGGTCGCAACTCCAGTTACAGTCTCGGTATGCTCAGCCTCATAAGTAGTGCTCACTCACAAGTTACCTGGCTTTCCACCCGTTTTGTTGTACCGATGTTGGATTGGTGTTTTACATGTACTCTCCCTGCATACAGAAAACCCCCTCTAAAACCAGGCAATCAGCATTGCGGTCAAGTATGCCTGTGTTTTCTTCGTCTTCCGTCAAGCAGGCTGGTAATCCTGTACCAGAAACCGGGATGTGCCATAAGCATGAACAGAAGAAATCTAATAAGATGAGCAACGTAGAGACAGATTTAGCAGGTCTACAAGCAGAGGTATTCTGTTCTTGCTATATTGCATTTTCTACCATTTTATATAACTCTCCTGATTCATGTCCCTATTCTTGACTTCATCGTGTAGAGTCTTCTATGTGGTCTTAGATCTGTACGATAAGATGCGTTGGCGAATCATTATGTAGAGCTGTGTACTCACTGTGGGCGCCACAAATGTTGCTCGTTCTCTGTGTAGCACAACCGCAAATTTCGGCCCAAGACCAAGTATGAGCCTAGAATCCACTCTGTGAAAGACATCAGGGAGGTAATTTGTGGATGATACTATCTTTTTGCTTCTGCGGTTATGGCCACTTTTTTTTTTTTTTTTTAACTCTTGGCTCTGAAGCACCTCAACGTCAAGTATGTCTTTAATCATCACGCACAATGTCTGGTTGGCTTGGTCCAAAAATTTGTTTCTTTTTGCCTCATATCGAGTTCCCTTAACCCACAGGATATTGTTCCACTTGTGCAGTGGGAGGCTAGAACCGGACAGTTATTTTATAACTTGCCCCCAGCAGAGCGTGAGAAAGCGAATGTGGAAATTAGTGCTGCAAAGCAACCGCGGCTAAAATGAATGCCATATTCATATATCTACACAACTTCACGCAACTTTCAGGTTGAGTAGCCTCCGGCCCGTTAATGGGTTCCGGTTGCGACTTGTATCATATCTTTGAGTAGAAACTGATACTGGCACTGTACAGTACATTGGAGCGTCTCCATTCACCCTTGTACTCCTTTCATCCGTGGCTCGAGGCATTGGTTGTAGAAAATTATTGATATGAACATTTATTCGCTCCGTGAGAACGGGCAGAGAAGATAATTTGTGTGTATGTACAGGAGATCTACATACCCGAAGGAAACCCACCCTGCTGAATGTACTCGAGATATTGTGCCCTTAGTTATGAGCTATTGTGTTAACTTAGTTTCCATGTCCTGCTTCAAACCCATGGTTCCGACCAGAGAAAAAGGTAAAGAAGAATGTGGAAATAAAACTCAAAACTAAGGTCCTTCCGTGCTTGGGATAAACAGCAAAGTAAATCTCTTTAGAATTGGAGTTCTCAAGATGATGCTGAGTGCACAATTGCCGGGCTCTTTTTCATCGTCTACTGCGGATGGTGAGCAGTGTCTTTGTTCTGAACGTCCGATTCGTGCCAATGACGGCTTATATATTAGTGCACAACTGAACAGTGAAACTACCAAAGTCAATCCTGAAATGAAGGCGAAGTGTGTACAACTGTGTACAGTGCGAAGTGTCGAAAACAGTACAATCGCTGGAGCATACCTTGATTAAGTAAAACAATCCCAACAATTTTGATATCTGAAAAAAAAAAAATTAATCGGGATATCAGCAGTATTGTAGGAAATCTTAGACTACCAATTAACTTGATGCAAATATCCTCGACTCCTTTCCGAATGTTGGCATCCTCGGCGAAGAAGGAAACCCTGACGGCTGACTTGTCCTGTAGTTCCGACTGAAACTTTCAACCACAAAATGTAAGTGAGGATAGAGGCTACCATTGGATTGTCACGTTTGCACGGCTTCCCGCTTCTTGCACGACAACCAACGGTCTGGCTGACCAGGGGTTGGTTCTATGCACCCGCTGTGAGCCTAATTCTCCGATCAATCCCACTTTCGGCAGTAACCCCCCAATATCCATAAAAATCGTTACAAACCTCCTCATGATATCACAGAGCCGTTTCGTCCTGCTCTAAACTTTTGAAGAGAAAGTGTAGCGTTCTTTAGGTCACTGTCCCTCGCGTCCTCTCGCAAGGTGCCTCGTGTCTACCCACTACGTCCGGCCTTGAAGCTATCCCCTGGAATTACTCCTGTCGCCCGCCCAGGCCTCAATGATCATTTCCGACCCATCTTCACACTGCAGAAGTCGCGAAGATCCCGTTCAGATTCACTGACAACAGTTCACTGGATGCTTTCCCGAACCGCTTCGTAGTCTTCCCGAACGATACATTTCCAACTCTTATTTGTCTACTCTTGCAGCTACTGCACTCTTTCTGTGATTTAGGTGCATTGATTGAGCTGCAGCGGATTTGTTTTTTCTGTGTGCGCACACAGCAACCGTGGTTTAGGGCGTGAGGGTGCACTCAATCCAGAGATGGCACCCAGAACGATGGTGGTAGTGAAGCGGAAGAGGGCACAGGAGCCCGTGGACAGCCTGTGGCTGCAGCTCATGGTGTCCGAGCCCCCATTGAAGCGCCAGAAGGAGGCGCCTCCGCGGCTACACTTTTTCCGCCGGGTGAAAACCACACGCCATCACCCGTCAGTGCACGTCGAGGAGCTAGCGCACGTTGAAACCATCTCCCTGCCGGCCACAAACAAGAAGCGGGGGATTGGTGAGACGCAGCACTCCGTGTCCGTGGCTAAGAAGCCTCGATTCGAGGTCACGGCGAAGTCGCAAGGGATCTGGGACGTGGTGCGGGTGGACGACGAGCCTCACCTCGCGCTCATCGAGCCGGCCGACTTCGACGATTTCTTGTATGACCTTTACACGGCGGGTGTCTACGTCGGCGTCGGCAAGGCTATCGAGGAATTCCCCGTGATTGCCATCCAAGCGTCGGAGCGCGAGGCGAACGAGTTCGGATTGCCCGGCGACGACGACGATGCTTATGGCAACACCAACGACGCTCATGCCATCGACTATCCAGACCCTTAGGGTTTTAGGGTTTGGCGGTGGATGAGCTTTGTATATTTTGTATACTAGTTTCAATAAAGATATCAATCCTCACTTCTTCTTCGATGTTCCGATGCTCCGATTCTCGCTCGCTGTTGATAATGCTGCGGTAGACTTCAGTTTCGCCTTGCAAAAGAGTGAGGCCTTTTTAGAGTTTGGGTAGAATTAGATTTTGGCATTTAGGTTAACACACTCTGTATTGTTACCTTCTTTTGCAATACTATGATATTCATTGATGCTTCGTTTGAACATCCCTTGCAAGTGCTCGAATGGGTCTGTTGGGAAAGCTTGACTGGATTGTGGGTTGTGGGTTGTGGATTGTGTAAAAATCTTTGTTGATGTTTGCACAAAAGTTTCTAAAGCATATGCAATTTTGTCTGCTTGAATGAATCTTGGAATACTTTGATTGCTTGTTCGATATTTTATATTATTGGATTGTAGATTATTAGAGTTTCCATTTATAATCTGATTCATAGTTGACATGTTTTTGCAAGATTTTTAGTACTCTTTTTTGGACACTAGAGCTTAAAAAAAACTAATTATCAATAAAAAATAAATAAAAGTAATCTAAGTGGAAACAAACAATTGGGTGTTTCCGAGTATTGAATTAAGGAAAATCGACATATATTTATTCATGGTAAATTAGAGTCCTTGAATTATTATAGATTTTGTCGTGCATCTATCGATATTATCTTAAACAAGCATTGAATTGGATTGAATTTCTTTCATTTCTGTATAGTGTTTTGTTATTAACATGCAACAAACAAAATTATCTCATATTGATCCCTTTTATTACTAAAAACTTATTTCCTTACTACATAGTCTAAAAAGCTCTCATGTGTATTTGAATATCTCTCTTTTACCTGAACTTCTCTTTCCATGATTTGAACTTGGTTAGGATAGACAAATTATTTAATAAAAACTTTTTGTACCTTTTGTAGTCACATTAAACAAGTTTGATAGTACTCATGTGCGTTTATTGATATCATTGCCACGTTTATATTTAGCTCGTCTTACACTGCATTAAAATCTAAAATGAGTGCCTCAAATTCATTACAAATACCAATTTTACAAATAACCATAAAATCCTTTTTACAAAGTTTGTCAACATTAGACGATGAAAGGCAAGATTGGTGAGAATGGAGAACCTTGCGGAGGGAACGTGGGAACGACAGTAGAACAATGGGAACAAGGGGAACGCTGTCTCTGGTTGAGCTCAAACCTTAAACCCATCAACACTCTCTGGCATTGTTATTCTTCTTCCCCTATCATCGCTCATTCTCTCATTCGCCATAGCTGAGCTTCGACACCGCAATGTCATCTGATTCTAAGGAGACTGTAGAAGGAGCCTTAACATCGCCACCACGTTGAACGGAATTACCGCAGCGAGAGAGAGAGAGAGAGAGAGAGAGAGAAGTATTTGGAGTTTCCTTCTTCATTGAGACTGAATAGATTTTGGAGTGTGTCGTCGTCATGGCGAACACTCTGTGGAGCCATTCCAATTCGCTGTCACTTGTCGCGTCTCTCAGGTAGATGATTCTTTGGACGCTTCGGTACTCATCTCAGGTGTACCGAATTAGAAGTGTTTGTGTGTGTATTGCTATTCTTGCAGTTGAGAGGAGCTGGAATCAGGGTCTTAAAGAGCCTTATCATTATTTCTTTTTTGGTTTTGGTTTTTCGTGGAATGGTGTTTTTCTTTATCTCCGTCGAAAAAATTCGAGGCGAAGTCGCATTCGTTTTTTTAGGGGATTTTGTTTTGTAATATTTTTTTAAGCTGCGGTGGATGCGACCTTTCTTCGCATTTCATTTACGTATTTTACTGTTACGGTGGGCATCGTTGGTTCTTCGGGATTTTATCGACATGATTTGAAGTCCAATTCAATGAGATAGTCCGTGGCACAGGAATGCTATAGCGAAGTTTTAGTTTCTCTTTCCTGAGTTCTTGCTCACAACTGCGTTTCTCCTTTCTGGCCATGTGCCGCTCCTTTAGCGGGGCGCTTGTGTCTCGGGACTTTGCATCTGAAAATGCTCATAGTTTTAATCATACTGTTCATGGTGTCATATGAAAACAGTGAGGTAGCGGTGGTAAGGTGTCATTTTGTGATGGTATAGCACTTTCTCCAATCGCATGTACAATGTTTGGGTCGGTTCTGTTCTATGTATGATAATTGACTTTTTCTCTTTTTAAATCTTCAGCCCTGTATTGCAATTGTAATCTTGATAAGCGATTGAAAGAAAGCAATTAGTATCACGATCATGAAACAAAGAGATTTTTACTTCGCAGGGGAGAACTTGTATCCAATCGGCGGGTTCAACGTGCTAGAATGCCTGGCTGTAGCATACAAGTTTCATCTCAAGCTTGCTGGAATAGATCAATGGAATTAAAGTGTCTTCAAGTAAGAGGGGCGGCGAGAAGATTAGAGCGTGGTTGCGGTTGGTCATCTCCATCGTATGAAGCTTGCCGAGTCTCTATCCCAAGTCCAGCAGTTTCCAAGGCCATAGTGAGCAGGTCAGTCATGGTTCCTTAATTGAATAATGATGAGATGACATCACAGAATGCTATAAGGTATGATTGGCGATATTGTAACATCGGTATAAAAAATAAAAAAAAGAAGAAAAAAAAGAAAAGAAAAGAAAAGGCTCACTGCTACACTGAAATGCTTGTATTTGAATCCTTTGGTGTAGAAAATCATATATTTTGATCAATCCTATTGTTGTTGTAACGTTTTTCAGCACGCATCGATCGCATGCCGTCCTCTCCCTCTCTTTTTCTTTTTTCTCCTTTGTTGTTGTTGTTGTTGCTGTTGTTAATTCCTGATATTGTGGTATATATTCTGTAGGTTCGGGAATGGCCATCGGAGGTACTCACATCCTGAGCATGGTTCAACTTCAGATATTGATTCAGCCCCCATCGTGTATGATCTCCACCGTTCCTTGTGTGCTGCACGAGAATTTGAATGCTACTTTGGACACATAAGTTTCGTTCCACGAGTTCGCTCTAGCGTGCTGATTATCTCCATGAAACATGGCCTTTTGCAGCGATATAGATGCTGTAGTATCAAGACCGCAGGAGGTGGAAGTCATTGAAGACGAAGAGGTTGAGGGGCAATTCAACGAGGAAGAATTTAAAAGTCAGTTTGAGCGATTGGCAAACGCTATGGCGGCGGATGACGTTGAGGCAGCTGAAAAAGTCCTTCGAGAACTCGGGTTTGATTATTTCCTTCTCACCATGCATCTCATCCTCGAAGGGTGAACATTTAAGGTTAACGTGACTGGTGACATTGAGGTTTGAATTGCATCTGGCCAATGTGCAGCTAATGAAAGGACATCTCTTTTGGTTGAATTTCTGTGGACATCTAACGTCATGCGTGCTGTGATGAAGCAGAAATCCATTCAAAGCTAAAGATATGAAGACTATGATGGACGATGCGACTGAAGTGGAGGACAATCTTCAACAACTCTATTCTGAAGTGAATAATATAATAGAAGAAGGAGATTTCGAAACTGCACGAGAAATAGTCGAAGCTAACTATGAAGCGTTGTTGGATTCACTTAGGGATTCAGTTCCTGCAGGTGTAGAACAGGCTGCCATGCTCGATGTACTGGCCCAGCTTCGTCTAAGCTTGGGCGATGCTGATGAGACAGAGAAACTTCTGGAGCAGGTTTGTAGTTCATGTTTCGCAGACTTGTCTCCAGATATCATAGTTCATTTTTCTATGGTTATCTATTCATTTTTCGGATGTTAGATCAATGTGCATCACGTAAATTGTCTGTTTCCTTCGATTGTGGACTCACCATTTTCTTGATACATTTTTTTTTTTCTTAGTTTATATTGAAGCGATAGCTCTGTTTTACTCACTAAGCGTGGGTCTGTGTCTACTTCAGATAGAAATCATATTGGAAAACTTAGGAGGAGATACACATACGGCACTTCTGGACAATATACTTACTCACATGGCAAACATGTATAAAGCCCTTGGTCAACCTGCTAAAGCCATAACTATACTTGAAAGCAGTCTTCAAATTCAAGAGAATACACTGGGTATTTTAAGCACGTTTTATTGTCACTTTGATTTTAGCTAATGAATAGACGATATACTGCTTTTGGTATTGGTTAATGTACGTGTTTGTATGTACTTGCTAGTTGACTGTAATCTATTCAGTTAATTGAATCCTGCTTTGATGTCCTTGTGACTGCTATTATTGAGATCTCTAGTCTGTATCTATTTCGTGACTCAAATTTCTCTGTGCGTACCAAGAACAATAGTACTTAAGTACGTAGATAATATGCTTGAATCTGACCAATCTTGTTTCTTGCACGTGGGTATTTGTTGAAACAGGTGAAGACAGTCCGTTGATTGTTCAATTATTGTTGGGACTAGCCGCCACCTATCTTGAGGATGGCCAGGAGGATAAGGGCATTGAGACATATAAACGAGTAGTTGCAATCCTTGAAAGAATTTCAGGTCCTGATGATGAGCAATTGGCATTACCCCTTGCTGAAATGGGTCACGCGCTCTTGGAGGCTGGAAGATTTGATGAGGCGGAGATAGCTACAATCAGGTGCGTGGCTGGTTACTTCGGTGATCTCTTTTTGAGCAACCCAGACGTTCTGAAGTACACACAAATCGGTATATTTGTTCCATTTAAGAATTCTTGGCAGGTGGCACCAGAATTTAAAAAAAACAATATAGAGTGCGGGTCCTTAACGGTAAAAACTTCGGTCAGGCGGCACGAAACTCTATTATCATATGCTTAACGTAGTTCTCACACCATGGTGACCTAATCTTGCAGATCATTACGGATTATAGAAGAGGCGTTGGGACCAAAACACTGGCAAGTTGGATGTGCTACATGCTCAGTGGCTCGAGTAAAGACAGCGAAAGGTAATTCTAGACAACACGTATTTAATGGCTTTATCTGAGTTTTGTGACGGTTAATGATGAACTGTTCAAAGCGCTATTCATCCTGTTGCGCTGTCTGAACTAGGATTCGCTTCTGGTGAGGGGGAGAGAAATTACCTTTCATTACTTTGAGCTTCAGAAATCCTATTATTAGTGGTGACGTGTTCGAGTGATTTGATTATATACAGGAGATTATGACGAGGCTGAATCCTTATATCGCAAAGGGCTTCAGATTGTGGAAACCGCTACTGACTATCCAGAAGATGAAGATGAGACTTTGATGACGAAAGAATCCATCCGTAGCGATTTCGCAGAGCTTCTAGATGATATGGAGAGGTAAGTTGCCTGGATTTCCAGCTGAAATATTCAAAGCTAAATTATGCAATGAGGTTTCGAATTGGAGTCACAAGTGCGTTACACAAGCATACCAGGTTATTCAAATGAGTTGCTTAGCAGACATGATTCTTTACTAGCTAACAATTTTATTCCCCCTAACATTATGCAAAGAATCTCTAGTGACCGAGGTCATTGTAAGTAGAAGGAGAATGTTGTGTCGACGGTGTGTTAATTCAGAACATAGGAGTTCTTCTTGCAACCTTTGGCAATTTTGGTGGAATAGCATAGCATGTAAACCAACTTGATTATGATCTGGTTTGGAGATGTAGATACGATGAGGCTCAAGAGCTTTGGAGAAAGAACTTGGTAGACAAGGAGAAAAAAGTAGGTGAGAATGATGCTGAATTATCACCTTCATTGCTAGGATTGGCCTCATCCTTCGTAGAGGCTGAGAAATATGACCTAGCTGAACCTTTACTCCGCCGGAGTCTCAAGCTAATGTTCAATCATTTCGGTCCGGATGCACTGGAAACTTCAGAACCGATGGAAAGACTTGCTTCTGTATTAAACCATCTTGATAAAGACGATGAAGCAGAGGTACTTGCGAGGCAAGCTTTAAGCATTCGGGAGACCATCCATGGTCCCTTTCATCCTTCTACTGGTGAGTACCCTTGTAAATCAAGGATCCGCTAGCAATGGTTTGGCACTAAAAGTGAAAATTCAAAAGTAAAATTAGATTCTTCTGTTTTCTTCGCTTCAATTGATTCATTCGTTGTCATGTTATGAAGCCACATCTCTTACCCTGAATCTGTTGGATTACAGCCGAAGTTTGTAATACATTGGCTTCTATCTTGAACGGATTGAATCAGATTGAGGAGGCATTTGCGTTGATGCAAAGAGTGCTCAGAATTCAAGAATCTGAATTAGGGCATGATAGTTTAGAAATTGGACTAACTTTAGAGTTGATGATTATGCTGTTAGATAAACTAGACAGGAAGGATGAAATCCCACCGCTACTACTCCGTTTAGATAGGCTTATGGCTACTGAAGGAAATAACTTGGGCCTACTTTAATGCACTAAAATGCTACAAGTTATTTGTGATAGTGTGATATAAAAATATTTTAAAATATGGAAATGCTTCTATATAGATTTTGGGAATGCCATCAAGCTTACAATATTTGTGATTGGGTCACCTCTTGTCTGTATAAATTAACATCCACAATCTTGGGAATCGTGGATTGTGGAAATCTTTACTTGGAAATAAGTCAGCTTTTTTGAAGCTATATACTCTCAATTTAAATGTTTTTATAAGATATAGTCTTTGTCAAGGGGACTTTGTTTATGGATCATTTGGATTTAGAGAAATAAATTTGTTTTAGAAAATAATATATGCAATAAATTTTACATTAGAAGCTTCATCTGGAAAGAAATAGATGAATATGGACATATTAGTTGGAAATTTGTCAAAAAGTATTAGAACCATAAGACTACCCTTCTCAAGAGACGGGATAAGTTATAAATAGGAAACACAAATTTGAAGGTCATCAAATGGAACTTTAGAATACTCTAATAGTATTAGCTCTAAGAATTAACTCTAGTAGTTGTTTCATCTTTTTAGTGCCCATGTCTCCTGCTTTTGGGTGTAAAGAAACTAGTTTGGTTTACTTTTACCACTTCAGTAATGCATTGGAAATACCTTGTTTGTGTGTCAAAAAATAGATAAATAAAAATGATTTCATTTTCACACGGATAAGGAAGGACAAGTTTTGCATGGGACATAAACAATAAAGAGATTGGAACAAATTAAATTGTAGAAAGAAATAAGTGGTTTAAGTAAGCTTTAAACTAGACCAAAATTAAATTTGTTTTGTTTTGTTTTGTTTTGTTTTTTTTTGTTTTTTCCCAAGAGCTTCAACAAAATTGCATTGAACCTTGAAAAAAAACTCAACAAGAACTTCACATTTCTCAACTTTGGGGGGAATAAATAAATAAACAAAAATTGCCATTCTGAAATCAGTCAAAATTAGTTGATTTGATACAAGAAATTGTTGCAGCAACAGAAATGTAGGTTAGCATCATTTTAAAAGTACAAAATCAATTCATTCACAGTAGTTCCTGGCATATACTACATGGCCACACAAATCTTTCTTAAGGTATGAGTTGTTAGAGAATTAGATACATTGGAGGTCCAGACCAGGGTGACTGTAGACGCACAAGCCAACCAACTGTGCTGGATCATAGGTGAAATCTGTGGTCAAATGGCTTCTGAATTTTTTTTGACAATGAGCCTTGATGTAGGGATCCAATCCACATTTTACAAGTTCAAAAGACCTGGGTAATTGCTCACCGTTACCGTAGAGCCATGAGAAGCAAGCGATTAAGCTCAGCATCAGAATGCTCAATGATTCACTGCTGTGCAATATATCACTAAGACGTCATATGTGTAACAAATATCTGAACACGTTTTCAGACATCATCACAAATTAAGAAGAGCCTACCTGAGTGTTCACTATGCAAAATGTACCCAGCAACACGCGACACCCAATTCGCATCGGTACATGCTATCATCATCTAGAACCAACTTGAAGCACGGTTACGTCCCTCTGGCAGCCACCAAAGTCGAATGAGGGACCGATCTGCAACTGCGTCCTATGAGATATAGACAGTGGAAGTGCACAAGAGTAATTTGCCTGAAAGCTATACCGTTGGATAAGCGGATAAGGTTGAACATCCGGGGTTCTGATAATTTACAAATCGATGCATCCCAAGCCAAGTCTACAACAGGATGCGGTCACATCTGGGGTCGATCTACCAGAAGTAGTAACTAAGAAGGATTAGCCATCGCGTACTCTTGTGAATGTTGAACATATTTAGTCATCTAGTCAAAATTCCTGATCAGTCCTTCTGGACTTTAGAGGTTGGTCTAAGTGATGCCCGCCGCATACCCTTCTTTAACATATTAGTATCCCTGATCAAACCATTACAAAGAAATCAATCAGTACGCGAGGTCAACTCGGAAAGATTCAATCAGTTGAGACCGTGGTATCACTACCTCTAGCTCTAATCTCTGAAATTAGCGAAGTAGTTCTAGAATTATGACCAAGCGATCTAATTATCAGAAAATAAAGATTCTTGGGTGGATCGGTCGAATTATCCAATTAATCGGCTGCATAATACATGATTACCACAAAAATGTTTTAATCAAAAGGCACAAGTATAGTGATAATGCATACCGTCTAACCAAATATACTATCAAGTAAAAGATCGCCAACGCCACAATGGTAAACAATGTAAATGCGTAGATCAAAGATTTGTTCCTGTTTATCTACACAATGAGAACAACAATAAAAATAAAAACAGAATTAGTATGTTCATGCACGCATACTTAATATCCCAAAGTCGGTGTATCACGGATCACTTCAGTTTCTTTATATTAGAAATTTGATATACAAACACAAAGACTCCATCCTGAAAATATACAAAAAGATCTGATATGATTTGTCTGAAAGTAATGAATCAAAATTGTCACATAATCAAAACAGACAGAAAGGAGCAAGTTGTCTATATTTATTTGCCAGAGAAGACTTACAGAAACAAGCTCACGGAGTAATACATGAAGAGCAAATATTGTTCTACATTCATCTCAGAGCATGACTACTGGATAGAAAAGAATTAACGAAGCATACCCCATTTCCCCTTGGAAAGATCTTCAGCTTCTTCTTGCAGGTATGGGCATCACAAAACTGTCGCTTGAAGAAATCTAAGATAGAATTCCAGGTTCAGAAATTAAATGAAGAAAAATTGGTGATCAAAGACCATTAGCTAATACTATGATAACACATTAAAAATCAAACAAACAAAGACTCGAAAGGAATTGCACAATCAATAGCAAAAGCATAAGAAGATCTGCACCGTTCAATCTTTGAGCAGCGGGGCTATGATCAGCAGGAAAGCAAGTGTTAGCCAACACCTGTTCCAGTATACAGCAGAAACATGAGTTTCTTGTTTTAAAAAAGATACTTTGAAAAATATAAAAGCCAGTTGTTTTCAAAGATAAGCAAACATCTACGTCCAAGGGCACCAGAGTCGAGCAGCAATGCTCTATTCAAATCGCCAGTTTTAAGAATACGGGCATCACTCTTAAACTGTACCAACAGCTTCAGCATGTTTCAATAATAATTACTTCCTCAAAATGTGCTCACATTTTTCTGGAGTGCAAATTGGAATTTTTTTTATCTTTTACATGATGAACCAAACAAACATCTGGCAACTCGTAGCAAAGTGAATTCAACAGCTAAAAGTTTCAACAGCTCTTGCACATTCAATAAGTATTAAGCTTTCTCACCTCGCACGAATGACGGTTCCTCTCCACAACAGCTGGTTTGCATGTTGATTGCTTCTGTGACTTCGATGTTGATAAACTGTTATAGTAATCACAATGCAATGCTCCACAAGCATCCGCTAAACACATGTTTAAGCTCTGCAAAGCAGACCATGTACTCAAATGAGTATCTCCATGATAAGGACAACCTTGTATACAGACCAGGACACTCGCGTCACTGAGCTTGGCCACTATCATGTAAGGAGGGGGTCCCTCTTGCACAAATCCTATCGCATAAAGAAGCAATTGCAAACAAATCAATAAATAAATTTCAAACCACTAAAACCTCAAACAAAACATCACCTTGTCGAGCAAATTAGAATGGCGATTATCAAAATGAGTGTCCAAGAACCCTTGATTTCGAAATATTTTCTTGCAATACCGACACTGCCATTGCATAGGTCGCAATTCATCCATGTTCTCCTCTTGCTCACGGTAGATGTCGTTGGCAGGGTGGAGACGACAGCTTTCAGGCAAAGTATACTTTTCGGCCTCCACAAATGGCGTTAGGTACTATCACAAGTTCCAGGCCACACGTTTCGAGTGTGCGTGAAGAGGGTTGATTGCTTCGTCAAAACATGTGTTCTCAATATTTTAAAAGGTTCATTCTAGATTAACCACCAAAGATACTAAATACGTAAAATTTTGGAACATGATTCTAGCAAACTCACACGCAGCACTACACGACATTCAACTTCTGTGCAATATTGAAGTTTTGTGGACATAAATTGATCAATCTGAAGATAAAAATTATCTTAGTACATATATTTAATGCTCTCACCAAATTCAATACCATCTGCTAAATGATCGTCGTCTATACTAGACCAACACTTTCTACGACTAAGAAAATTTCTATACGATTCTGATTGCAGTGAAAGACATGACAGATCATTTAGAACCAACTACAGAAGCCATGCGAAGATATGCACACCTCATGAACAATTTCTCGGACAGTCCTACTCCGTGATCTAGAACAATGCACTATGTTCTTCTCTTCCCTCAATTCCCGCTGCCTGCAAGTGGCAGGAACGAAATATGCATTAGTAACTTACCAAAAAGTGAACCACAAAGAAAGCTAAAAGAAGAATATATAAAAATACATAAAAATATAAATAAAAACTACTGCACTCAAAACGTACCTTTCCTCTAAAACCCTGCTATTTTCCTGGATCGCCATTCCAAAAATTGGGTTAGACTTTATTAACAGACATCTTTGCAGTATTGTGCAGAGCGAAATTCTTAGAACCCTAAATTTCTTCGGCATGGATCAAATGCAAACAGTGTAATGACAACACAACCAAAGAGCGTCTCTCTTTAATTGAGACGATCCATGAAAGATGATGTCTTCCAGAATCAGAAATCATGATCCCTGCGACAAGGTTGGGATTAAGTTGCTAACATACTGAAACAACCTTGCCTGACTGACCTAAAGAGAGAAAGCGAGAGAGAAAAAAAAACATACATACAACCATACAACCATAAAACCATAAACATGACATAACAATGGTAATCAACCCAATTATGAGCTTGATTTCTCAAAAAGTAGTTGATTATCATTGGGAGAAATAAATAAATAAACAGTAAAAAATAATAAATAAATAAAAATGTTAGAGGGGCAGGTGACGTACCGCATGTGCCATGAAACTGCTTGAACCCAAGACCAGCACCAGGAAAATTAAAACATAGGATCCTGGGCTCCAAAATCTCCTCGTCATCATCTCCCCCCCCCCCCCCCCCCGCTTGCCACAGTCCCCCCCTACGACGACCTTTACCGCAGTAGGTACCCTTTCGATCTCCAACTATGCAACCTTAAATACACTCTCTCCACACCTCTCCTTCTACTGCTTTCATTCCAAACAATCACCACTAGATCACAAACACCCGTGCACATTCCTCGACACGATCAAGAGAGAATGTATCTACGGCTTCCAACAGCTTCCACGGATCAGCGCGGGCGCAACCTTATTCCAAACGTAAATCCTAATCCCTGCTCAATCCATCAACATCTTTCGTCGAACTCGGAAAACCTGATCCAGTAGCCGATTCCTTACGAGAATCACACTCGCCTACTAGGAATTACAAAACTAAAACTACAAAAAAAAAAAAAAAAAAAAAAAAAAAAAAAAAAAAAAAAAAACCGTGAAATAATAATAATAATCACAAACTAGACCCGAAAAAAATCTCAATTCGTCCCAACGGATTCCGAAACCAAGAAGAAGAACTACAGCTATCGCAGCAATTAAGATACTGCAGAAGAAGCTTCAAAGGAACTACGGTCTCATTCCAGGGTGCCGTCTAGGTCTGAGCTAGAACTCCAACGAGATGAGACAGAGCGCCAGAAAGAAGTTCCGATTGACGTGAAAACATCGCTATATACCTAGAATCCTATGCCATCGACCCTCTCCCTCTCACAAGCATGTGTGCACAGATGGGCTTTTCCAGCAGAAGGAAGGCATGGACCCCGCTCAGCTCAGCTCAGCTCAGCTATGGCGAAAAGTGAGAGAAAGCAATTCCAAAAGGAATCCTCGCAAAAAGCTTCGACGGCGATGGCGAACACCACGCCCTTGTGCACCAAAACGGATGGATGAATACATCCATATCTTCATCTATCCAGTTTCTGTTGCTGTGTTGAATTCTTACTCACTCTTTGAGTTCTCACCTTTCACAACAAAACAGTTGGATGAAGTCAGGGAGATGGAGGATGAATTTATTGATGAATGAAGAGCAGCACCCTCGACATGAGAACAGTGAAAGGGGGCAAAGGATGGAAAGGGGCAAGACCTGCCTTAGATATTTATGGGGAGAGGAGCCAAACGATAAACCCTAGCATGGGGGCCCTTCCCCCTAGAGTGGGGCCCTTCGGTGATGCCGGGTGGCCGTGCATCGCTGAGCATGGCCGGGCCTGGCTAGGACTGGGCCCAAGGGGAAGCAGCTTCGGGGCAGCTTCGGCGCAGAGCCGGTGGGGGGCATGGGGAGTGCACCTTTGCGATGCTCCATCGCCATTCTCCGTCGCATCTCCGCAGAGCTTTCTCTCGTTGCGGTGACGAAGGGGAGAGTGGTGGTGGTGGTGCTGCATTGTTGTGTGAGCGTGGTTGTGGCTTGCAGCCATGTTGGCAGCTTTCGGGAAGAATCGCGCGCTTGTCTCCTCTCTCTTGGTGCGTCTGTGAGGCGATTCTCTCTGCGGAGTTTTTGTTCTTTTTCTTTTTAATCGGTGTTAGTTTGGTTCTGCGTGTAATTTGTGGAGCCGGATTGGTTAGCCAGAGGAGTGATGTCTTGGAGTAGCCGGGGCTTCGCGGACGAGCCCTGGAACCTGTTGCCTGGATTCGCGTTCATAGCGGTGGAGTGTGGATACAGAGGGTTTGCTGAATTTTGGCGATCGAAATTTGTTGAGTGGTTGTTGGCATTGGTGCTTTGTGCAGAGAGGGGGTAATGGCGGTGATGGAGCTTCCGCGGCTGCGGTCTGGGCGGTTTCCAAGAGGTTCATGTCGGCGTCGGGAGATTCGGTTAGTGCCCCGGGCTGGATCTTTGGATTGCTTGGTTGTGGAATGGAGTGAGGATTACGTGCTGTATGGTTTTTGGTGATTGACGTGTATCGTGATTGCATCGGCTTTGTCTGTTGCCTGTTCATGATTGGTCTTGTAGGTAACGGAAGTTGGCGGTTGTTTCATAAATCCATTAGCTGATCGTTGAGGGCATTCATTGATGTTTCTACCATCCTTAGAAACAGGATATTCTATCGTCCATGTTTGGTGATATTCATATGGCACGTCAGGAATTCTATGATAAATCAGGTGTTGGATTAGCAAGGAGGATACAAGATCACCGATTCGATTTGCTGTCGAATGTAAAAACATATGTCCATAGATAGGGACTATGGTTTCTTGCCCAATTGTCTGTTCTCTCAGCATTGGTAAAGGATTGGACAGGGGTGATGAGTCTGGAGTGGAATGGAGTGTTTCGAATCGTGTTGTGGAAACTTCCGCGGCATCTTTGAGTATAAACCTGCGATCTTTGTATGAATGTCGGAATTAATGCGAAGGTTGATTCGATTTTGCACAGATCACCGTTCGAGAGGCTTTGAACTCTGCCATCGATGAGGAGATGACAGCGGACTCCAAGGTCTTTGTTATGGGTGAAGAGGTAGGAATCCCTCCCCGCAAGATTCATTCCTACAATTTAGGCGCTGGTTAGGTCCTGTGAAAATGCGTTGGATGTGGGAAATCATCGTATGACAGCGACGTTTCATACTTATAGGTTGTTATGAAAAAACTGGGCGTAAACCAGAATTGCAATAATGAGGGAGGTTAGTGACGGTTGCGCTGTCTGCAGCGGTTATACGAGTCGGAATTCCTTACAGCTTAGGCCAGCACTTCGTTATTTTCCCACTTTGGAGAAGTTTTTCTCACGGCGTGCTTGTTTTCTTTTAGGTTGGAGAATATCAAGGGGCATACAAGGTACAACTATGCGCTTTTACGTTTGATGGTTTTTGTATATGAAAATGTACTCTTCATTTGTATTGTTTTCATTGTGCATAATATAGGAATTCATGTGCGAGTGCAAAGCTTGAGTGCAGCCAATGCAATTCATGTGGAAGCAATTTGCAATTTGGGTGAGCTCAACGTAGCATGTTTGGTTGGGGGTGTTGGCAGGTCACAAAGGGTCTCTTGCAGAAATTTGGACCAGACCGTGTTTTGGATACTCCTATTACGGAGGTTTGTATATTTTCGACTTCCCCTTCTCTTTTACCTTCTACCTCCTGAGATTCTCCTTTTCTGCTCCGTCTCCTGCGGTATAGTTTGGGTTTTATTTTTATCACACACACTCACAGTGTTTGCCGGAGTGGTTGGGGTCGGATTTTTTGTGGTATTAGGAGTCGGTTTGATGGTTTGGGCATTATGGTCTTGTGTACAGGCTGGTTTCACTGGACTTGGTGTTGGAGCTGCAATGTACGGCTTGAAGCCCATCGTGGAGTTCATGACCTTTAACTTCGCCATGCAGGTCAGTTGATACTCATGTTCTTTCTTCTTGCTGTGGTTTAAGGCAGTGTGCATATTGGCATGAGTGCGTGGATTCTTGGGGAAAAGAATTGTTTCTTTGAAGATGCTTAAGTCGTATGAATGTTGCGTTGTTTTGGTTGAAATGAAGTGATCTGGCTTGATTTGTAAGTAACAATGTATTATTGGATGGTTGTTGACAGGCCATCGATCATCTCATCAATTCAGCAGCTAAGACGAACTACATGTCTGGTGGGACGATTAATGTTCCCATAGTGTTCCGGGGCCCTAACGGAGCAGCTGCAGGTGTCGCCGCTCAACATTCTCAGGTAATTAGGTAGTTTCTTACATTTGGATTGGTTTGACATGACAGCTTCATTTACTGGGTTGGTTGATCTTTTGCGCGCTTGCTTGCTCGTGACTATTGGAGGATTATGCACATTCTGCTGCCTTGTTTTTAACCGATACATGTCTTCAATCAAATCTTACCTGTTCATTTTTGCAGTGCTTTGCTGCATGGTACGGCCAAGTTCCTGGGCTCAAGGTCTTGGTTCCTTACGACGCTGAAGATGCCCGCGGACTCATGAAGGCTGCTATTCGGGATCCAGATCCCGTTGTTTTTCTAGAGAACGAACTATTGTGCGAGTCCTCGACTTTTTCTCTAGCTTTGTTAGTTGTTTGCCCTAGTTTTAGGGCTTGTGGTTGTTTTCTGACGTTATGGATTCCGTCCTGTATCCTACTCATTGAAATGGTTCTGTGATAGAGTTTTGTTTGAAATGGATGGAAACATAGCCACGATGTCCTGAACGTTCTGAAAAAGATGTGTGTGATATGCGAACAAATGGAACGATTATTTTGACATTTTGTTGTCGACTTATGACAGGTATGGAGAATCTTTCCCAGTATCGAAGGAGGTGCTTGACCCTAGCTTCACGCTCCCAATTGGAAAGGCTAAGGTAAGTCACTGTTTCGGGTTCAGCTAAAGTGAACTGTTGGAACTAACAAAATGAAATGTTTGCACTTGATTAGATCCATACTTTGATGGTTAATCATCCGGCTCGTGCACAGTTGGTTGTTTTCTGATGTGCCTAGTTGGTCAACAATGCAGCTTTGACTGTGAGTGGAGATCACTGTATGTCAACTACGTATTGTCGTGCTTTGCAGATAATGAGGGAAGGGAGTGACCTTACCATTGTGACATTCTCGAAGATGGTTGGGTATGCTTTGAAGGTGCGTCCTCAATATCCGTACTCAGCTGTGTGTTTTTAGGTGTGGGTACATATTGTTTTAAGAATTTACTAATCTCTTTTACCATAAAAGATGTTTTAAATATTTTTAAATATTTGGAATCCAACATACTATTTTAAATACGCCTTTGTTAAATCATCAGCCTCGCCGATGCTCATGAGTGAGTTGCTATCTTTATTTCTGCCTTGACGAATGAAGACTTTGCGGAACATAGAGATTAACCAAACAGGTCACTCTGATGTGCAGGCTGCTGATGAACTTGCGAAAGAAGGCATAAGCGTAGAGGTTAGACTCTCTGTGGAACTGTTCGAGCACATTAAGCTTACGGAGGATTGTCAACAGATTTTCCGGAAATCCCTGAAATGAATTGTTCTGCCGGATGTTGAATGGGCTCTTTGTTTCTGTTTTTGTAGGTGGTCAACTTGAGGTCAATCCGACCTCTTGACAGAGAAACAATCAACGCATCAGTGCGCAAGACCTCAAGGTTGTTATGTCTTGAGGAAGGATGGCCTCAGCATGGAGTTTGCGCTGAGATTTGGTATGGTTCGCGTAGTTTTATACACGAATGCATGTCCTTAAGATTTACACGGTTCTTAGCTGTCGCGAATATAGCGTGGATTTTGTAACTCATGATGACAGTGAGGGTTGGAATGTTTTACAGTGCGAGCGTTGTCGAGGAAAGCTTTTATTACTTGGACGCTCCAGTGGAGCGGATATGTGGTGCTGATGTACCTATGCCGTATGCGGCCAACTTAGAGCGACTCGCAGTGCCTCAGGTAATTACTCCCAGTGCCATAATTATTTTTTGGAATGAGATGAATGGTATATATTATCAGCACACATCGGTGATATAAATGGTGTATATCCTGACCATTGGTAGGAGTTTTACGCCTATGACTAGTTTGATGAGGCTTTTTTCTGAATGGCACCCTCTGATTCAGGAATGGATTAGATGACATGTTTTGCTCTTGTTTCTGCAGATCGATGATGTGATTCGGGCTGCTAGGCGAATATGCTTCCGGAAGCAGGATAAGCGAAAGGCAACAGCGTAGAGCGGATACTTGTTTTCAGTGTTCATTTTGTGGAGTTCCATGTAGGAGTAATGAATACATCTCCTCTAATTTACTTGTGTAATAATTTGCATGCAGATCATTGCCATCATGATTTAGGAAACGATCATGAGAGTTGGTCATGGATGTGTTGTGATTTCTAAGGTCTTTAGAGTCTCTTCACTTGAATTTGTAGGTTACACAGATAATTTTAGTTCAAGATTGTGTTGGAAGAGTAGAGAGAAATTAATCTTATTTATATTATGAAGTGTAGCATTTGATGGGGTTACCCATTGCATAGCTGAGGTAGATTTCCTTCTATTTAAATCCATGAATGGAATTAAACAAACGAATGTCCACTCAATGATCAGTCATTTTCCACGGAAATAAAATAGCGGTGAGTGTGCATGTGTGTGGGTAAGACTGAATATTTCTTTTCTCAGTTTCTCTGGTTCAGTCCATTTTGAGAAATTGAATAGACAATGCCTATTCTCGGAATTGCAAATTACACAGTTCTTGTATTAGTCCTTTGCCAGTTTAATTTACGTAAAAACTGCAATGGGCGGTTATTGGTGCAATCTTAATTTTTCTTTGCATTTAGTGACTATCAACCTTCATATCGAACATTTTTACTGGGACAGTTATGTCTTTTCTTCGTATGTTAAGACCTTGAGGTCATTTTATATGTGTACTACTGAATTTTTAGAATGTGACATGGATGATGGTTTTGTCAATCAGCAAAGCTTATAATTACAAAAGTACAAAGAAATCATGTATCACTTCAAAAGTAATAATTGTATGACTTGCTGAATACATTAAAACACGTTTTTAAAAAGTTATTATTATTATTCTTATTATTTTTACTTTGAGTAGATTTTATTGAATATCTCTACATAAAAACAATTTGGGATGCATCTTCTTTTACTTCAAATGTATATGTAGTTTGTTTTTAATATTCAAGTTAGAGTTTATATTAATTCTGAAAGATTCTTTTTGGTTGAAGGTTAATATAGTTTGAAATTCACAAATAATAACTTGGATACCAAAAAATATTATATTTTTTTGTAAAATGTAATTCTATTACATTGAATATGCCATTTTCTAAGAAAATAAAAAAAAATTAAAATTTCATTTACTTACAAATTTGTTTTTAAGTCTTGCAACTTTTATTTACAACACATCAGTAATTTAAATATTGTTATGTGCATGTGTAAATTCAAGGCTTATGTAGCATTTTAATTTCATCAATTGTTATTAAAATATTATTTAAGTATGTATATATTTTAATATTAATGCATATCATACTTACAATTAGACGTGGAATTCCACTCATCTTCTTACTCTGTTATTTATCATCAATAATAGTTTATAACTTTGTGCGGTGGTTTTAAAATCAAATATACAATCATGGAGGTAAGTTAGAAACATCTTTCGTGCCATTGCTATTCATTGTTGATTGAGACTCAATGTATTCCCATATTAACATTGCATCATCATCTATTTTCGAGCATGTGTCAAAGTCATTAACAATAATATTTTAACAATAGTCTCATTATATTTTTATTTGAATGGATTTTTTTCGGATATTTAAATGAACAAAAATTAATAATATCACTCTTATATTATTTTTTGAAGTCTTTATCTATATCTTATTTCTTCTTTCTTTTATGTAGATTATGATTATTATAATATTTATTTTAAAGCATATATATATATATATATATATAAACATATATTAAAAATTATTATTATTATTATTATTATTTTATTAATTAGTAAAACTTCTAAAAAACTTATTTTGCTCATTACATAGATACCAAGAAGTTGTTCATTTATCCAATAAAAATTAACTACAATAAATTTTTGTACCGCTAAAGATTTGAAATTTTTTAAGGAATTAAGTCACATTATTATTTGTAGTTATTATTACCATTTTTAAAATATATGAATCTAGACAAAACTTAAAAAATAATGCACTCATGTATCACTAAAGAGGGAAGAAAGTAAAGAGAAAAGAAATAGATATAAGAAATAAAAGAACTAAAATGGCTATGTCAAATACAAAGAAGCTAGAGAGTCTTGAACCAAGATTAGAATAAGAGAAAGGCATTGACAAGATTAACAATGGGATTGGGTTTATCCTTATATATACTATTACTAAGGACCTTATAGAAGTTTCTTAAAGATCACATAATTTATGGTCTAAGAACCAAGTTGTAAATTGCTTCCAATGCTGCTTTTTAAAATTAAGAAATTTGCAAGACAAGTTTTGATAGTTACATGGTATATCTATAAAAATCTAAAGATCTAACTTACATCTGCAAAATTCTTTCAAGTTTCTTAAATAAGATATTATGTACCTAACATATTCTCTTTATCTTTGCTTACTTTTATTTATTTATGTTTATTTAAGTAATTAAGACATATGTTATTTCTTTGGTGTTTTTAAGTTTATCAACAATTCTTCAAAATGAGATAATTTCCAATAACGTAGGTTTTTGTTAATATAAGTTTAGTTTAGTTTTTTTTTTTTTTTTTTTTTTTTTTTTTTTTTTTTTAATAAAATATCACAAAATTTTAAATATTATTTTAGAATTCTATTTGTGTTTTAAAATTTACAATTACTTTTTCAAAATAAAATGATATATATATAAATTTAAAAATTTATATATTTTAATATATTTGATAATAATTAAAATTATTTAAAATTATTTATTTTTAATATATATAATTTTATCAATTTATTAAAATATTATTTTTATTCAATACTATTATTATTATAATAATAATAGTCATGTTAGAAATGTATGTTTTAAAATTAGAATGTAAGAATTTTATAATCTATTGTATTATATAATATCCAATTATATTATATGTCTAGAATTTAGGAATATTACATACATTATTTGGTTTATAAATAAAGAGCTATTAAAGCTATATCTCTATTTTATTAATGCCACATCTCCATTGATATCTCGTGATTAATTCCTTATTTCCATTCCATATTCCAATTTCCAACTTTTCCATTTTTATTCTCTCTCGACAGTTCTCTATTCCAACATCTCTATCTTTTTATCTCTCATTCATTATTTCCAATCTTTGTCCTCTCTTATAGAATTATATCATAGAAACCTTCCAATTCAATTAATTGGCTCTACCATTGTAGGCTATTGGATCATAGTTTATGCTTAGATTTAATTTCAATTGTTAATTAGATTTTTGAGAATGGAAGGAGGGAATATAGAAGAACTAAGAGGGCAAGGAGATTGGAAGGCGAGCAATTTAGAGGAGAGCATGTTTGGAACCCAAAATCGCTTCTTCATTGGATCTACACTAATCTATATTCTACTCCTTGCTTATATGAATTTGCATTCACCTTAGTGATAACATTTATTTAGAGGTTGCTTATGAATTCCAATTTTTAACCATCACTCTTGCTTCAAAGAATAATTTTTAGATGGCATATATAACAACACTTAATGTACATGATACTTTTGTTTTAGAAAGAATTTTTCTAATTCAAAAAATTTATTGATTAATTTTTTCTCAAAAGTAGATATTTTATAAACAAGGATTTAATATTGATTATTTTTTTTATACAAGAAATAAAAAATAGATCAGCTATATTTTGGTTTGTTTCATTTTTATAATAAATATTTAATTTATTCATGGTTTTTAAAAAAAATAAAAAATTTTTATCATTATATTTAATTAAAAATTAAAAAAAATTTAATTAATTTTTCCTTTAAAAAATTTTTTGGGATAAAAAATTAAAAAAGGTTTTTTTTTTTTTTTTTTTTTTTTTTTTTTAAATTATTTTTCAAATCATAAAATATTATCTATAAGCACCATATATTAAAATAGTTTTATTATTAAAATAAATGCAATTACTATGATAGTGTGTTTGTAAAAACCATTATTAAAACATGTCATTATTACTTATAATGGTAAATATGACTATAAAATATTATCAAATCAAATCTTTATATTAAATGCCAAATTTTTCATTTACATATTTAATAAAAATCTATATTATTGAAGAATAATTCTACATCTTGATCAACATTGCATTCTTCTTTATTTACTGTAAGACTATTATCTTCTTTTATAATTATGCATTAATAATTTTTGTACTTATTTTTGGTATCTTTAATAAAGAATATATTTAGATCACTACAATTTGGATATACTTCTTTGCATAGCTTAGGTAGTCTCACTTGTATACATTTCTTTAGAACTTCTTATCTTTATCATAAAACTTTGAATCTACCAAGTCTTAGAGGTACTAGATTTTTTCTACCATATCCTTCTTCATTATTGTCATATAACCAAAGATTTTTACAAATAATTCATCAAGTGCTACAAGTCAATCATAAAGTATGTAATTTAAATCAAATACAAATGCACACCTAGCCTATCACAAAATGAGTTGGCTGCACTCAAAGAGTATATTGATGCGAACTTGGCTTAGAACTTTATATGCCATTTTAAATCTCCAGCTGGGGCACCTATCTTATTTGTGAAGAAAAAAGATGGATCTCTGTAGACGTATGTGAATTATCGAGGATTTAATAAGATTACCATCAAGAATAAGTATCCTCTACCTTTGATTTTAGGACTTCTTGATCAACTAAATCAAGCAAAGATCTATACAAAAATAGATCTACAAGGAACATATAACTTGGTCCGCATCAAAAAAAGAGATAAATGGAAGGTTGTTTTTTGAATTAAGTATGGACATTTTGAATATAATGTCATGCCTTTTGGACTCACAAATGCACCAACTCTTTTTTAATATCAAATGAATGATGTCTTTTGTAAGTTTCTTGATGATTTTGTCATCTATTTTTTTGGACAATATTTTAATCTATTCTAAGAACACAGAAGAACATGAAGTTCATATTTGTCATGTGTTATAAAAATTAAGAGATGCAAGATTATATACGAAGATAAAAAAGTGTATATTCTACACTATTTAAGTTGACTTTTTGGATTACATCATTTCCAATGAAGGCCTTATGTTGGATCCAAAGAAGGTCCAAATTGTCATAGGTTGGAAGATGCTATGAACAATAAAAGATGTGCAATACTTTTTAGACTTTGTCAATTATTACTGAATCTTTATGAAAAACTTTTCTCAAGTTGGAGCACTACTTATACGTTTGACTTGTAAAGACAAACTTGAGTGAAAAAAGTAGCTGAAGCATCATTTATTGCTTTGAAGAAAGAATTTATTTCTGCACCAACTTTACATTGCATCAACTTTATTAAGGTATTCTTTATAGAAACACATGCATCAAACTTTGTCTTGGGTGCAGTATTGTCACAAATGGGAATAGATGACAAATTCCATCTAGTAGCTTTTTATTCTAAAAAATTTTTAGTAGTTGAAATTAACTATAAGATCC